CGCTTGCCGTACTTTGCGAGGTCCTGATCAACATCACGTTTGCCATACTTTGCAAGATCCTCATCGACGGCACGTCCGTACTTTGCAAGGTCCTGATCTTGAGCACGCTTGCCGTACTTTGCGAGGTCCTGGTCCACGTCTCTAGCTGGTAAGATGTGTGGGTTTACAACTGCTCGGTATTCTGTCAGTTTTTTCCCTGTGGTCGATTGATGTCTTCTGCTGTAGAACTTACCGCCTTCAAATACTGGAGCCGCAGCCGCCAGAGCTGGCAAAAGCACGAGGATGTTGCGGAGATGCATGATGGAAGAGATTGTCAAATGTATTGGGGTTTGAAAGTTCAGAACGGCCGGCTGCTCTTTGGAGTTTGCTACTTTGGTTTTGGTAATCGTACTGTGATGATGGATGGTGATGATGGGATGAGAGGTTTTGGGATGTGATTGCTCGATGTATTTGTACCATTTTCCACAGACGCTCTCCAATTCTTTCACCGCCGAGTGGGATCGAATTCGAGCTGGTTGCAGCTCAATCAGCTTAGTCTGCCCGACTTGAATCCTACGGACCCAAAGTGTCCGAAGTTTCTTGCCCGGAGTAATGTCAAGTCCAAGGATAGCCATGATGATACCTTCCCTTACAAGATATCGCAACGCACTTCCCCGAGTTGGTAGCTTGTCATGCGATGTCACGGCTATATTAAAAGTCTACGTAATACGGTATATTACAATTCAACTCGATATAGGAAGACCTCGAGGACTATATCAACTACAAAGTTTCTATTTATATGTCAGATTTATTGCCTTTGTTCAGTTCTATACAGCGCCAGAAACAACTACGAAATTTACGGTGGGCTTTACACTCCAGTCATTGGAAATTCCGACTTGTGAGGTATAGCACTAGCTATTCCCTATTGTTATTTAACTAACTTGGGGTTGTGCTCAATTGAATCGGAATATGATGATCTAGGTACAGTACATGGCGATCTTTCTTACTTCGCATGGTTACTTTGTATTAGTAAGGAAACAAGTAAGCATTTCACGGGAACGAAGACACTCAAGTAAGCTTATTGCAGCGGCAACGCAGCCTCGGCATCCCACCAACCTTCCTAAGCGGGGAACATCTCCAGTGCTCGTATCGTATTACAGATCCTCTACGCAGCGGTTACTTTAGAAGGAAAAATCTGACAGAAAAGTCGGCGAAGTCCATTTCGGCCGAACCCTGAGATAACAGCTCTCGCGCTTGTCCGTAGGATGAAGGCCTTGGCCATGCATGCTAGTGATATGCACACGTATGAATCATTTGGAACAAGGACGACAAGTCTGATTAAATACCCCTCCCATCCATACCTCTGTAGCCAAAACCATTTCCTCAATTCTGTTCGTTTTATATGTCATTACCAATGCCGAACAAAGAAGATCTCATGTCAAATGACAGCTCTAATTCTAGCTCACATAGACTCCTGTCTGATGAGCAAGGCTATGAATATCCTGAGGAAAGTTTCCATCAGAACAGCCGCAGGTCATGGCTCAGGCCCTTATTTGTCCATTTGGTGATCTTAGTTACCTATACGCTGGCCTTCTTCGCTCTTTATAAGAAGACTAACGGACAAAACTGTCATCGGGATATGATATTCTGTAAGACTTTCCTATCTCGTTCCGGCAATATCTAACATATCTCAATCAGCCCCGGCACGGGAAGCAGTTGAATATCAGCTCCTCCATGCCGAGAATGATCTCATGAAAGAGAGTCCCTACGCCGGTTTCCCCAATGATGGGAGCGATGCAGCATGGCGGGAACTGCTAAAGAACTCAAACATCCGAATCACCGCTGAGGAGTTGAAGAAGTTGAACCGGACATCCATCCAACTTCAAGATGGGTCAGGTGATTATTTTGGGGGTCTTAGTGCACATCATCATTTGCATTGCATTGTAAGTGGTGGACAGGCCTGTTACCCCCGAGCAGAATTGCTGATCATTGGAATAAAGAAAAGTGTTCGTCGCGTCATTTATAGGGATCACTACGGACTTCCCGATGAACCGTGGATGTGGTCGCATCTCGGTACGTGAATCCCCGTATTCTACCCTGGTTGCATCCTCAATTCCCATTCCCCGAACTAGATGTGCCTCTCATCCTACCAGCTATGTTCTAATAAATCAAAATACTAATGAGAATGTAGATCATTGCCTTGAAGATCTTCGCCAGAGTGTAATGTGTAACGCCGACTTCTCGGTCATTACCTACGACTGGCTCCCTAATTATCGTCGCCCGTGGGCAAATTTCAAGGTCGACGGCGAGTGCGTGAATTGGGAGAAACTCGATGCGTGGGCGGGAGACAGATTCTTTTCGCTGTTTGATCAGAAGGCTCTTGTGCATCCCGAACTCGGTATGTGCATGGTTTTCTCATTTTAATTCCCCGTTATCGTGAAAGGGAGGGGAACTGCATGGGCTTAGAAAAATGACCAATGCGAGTGAGTGGCTAACTATTCGAACAGGCATCTCATACCCCATCGTTGATGGCGTAATCCCCACGGATTCAACGCCTCATCCTACGAAATCAGATATCCAGGCCTTGAAAGACGGAACAAATCCCAAGGACAAGTTTTATGAAGCGCCCATGCCGTAAGCAAAGGTTGCTCCTGAGTGACGTTGCATTATATCGGAGTTCTTCTGCTCGGGCCTGGAATACCTACCTCCATGTATTTATCAATTATATACCAAAAACCCCAATATTAACACAATTCTACCAAATATTTACCATTTTAATCCCACTTGCTTTTTGATTGCGCCGGAGTATGATGGCGATTTGTGTCGGTGTTTCCAAGGTCTCCAGACAATATTCTGGAGTTTTAAATATTCGCGTAAGCCTGAACGAGAGACCCGGACAGGACCCCATCTGGCCATTGCGCCGTATCATTGGGGGCCAAAAGAACAATCTAACCAATTAAAATTATTTTCGCAAGGCGCAGCAGTTCTCTTTGGCTGATTAAGGTTGAGGTGTCTCAAATTCTATGCTTGGTGGTGAAACCGCAACCAGTAGAAACTGTAGAATACTTGCCTGCGGCATACCATCGACAAAGCTTCGTAGCTTGCATATCGAAAATATTCCTGCGCCGTACATCGTTCCACCTAGATAGGTATATATGATATCGCACCCCACCGCAGGACAATGTAGTTTTAGTACTACATACTCCGTATCAGCCTTTATGGATCTATCTCCGCCGAAGGCTGGCATTCCATGAGAATGGCAACCAACGTGTCAACCACTCTATACGTACCGGCAGCAGACAATTTTCTCGCGCAACTGAACTGGACAAATGGATCCGTCTCCTCCCAAGTCACTTTGAGATCAAGTACTCAAGAGCCCCCCTTCGCCGAATACCCTGGGAACGATGAGGACCAGCTCCTCAACCTCACCATTCTCCCCAACAATCTCGCCTCTCTAACCTTCCCAGTCGCGTCGATGGAATATTATGACAACAACGGCTCAGCCACTACTATACTCACTGGCTCAGTCTTTGCTCTCGCTGGCACACTCTTGGATCCCAACGCGCACCACCAGCCTGTACCATGCATCAACCCCCTCAGTGGGCAATACGGCAAGCTACCTCGAACGCTATTCTATTGCCTCTTGATATTCTCTCTAATATTTCGCCGCCATGAGTGGCTCGCTCTCGCGGCACTGGGAACAGCCATGACATACGCCGCCGTCTCGGCAATCCATCTCATCGGACTCGCGGTTAGGAGCCAATTCAGCGATCCAGACAATTTCGGGATATTTCCTATCCTGTCGACTTCGGGCATCATGCTTACCCCCATATTGATGTGGTCAACGTCAGTAAAGAAGCATCAAGCACAGGCTGTGATCATCTACTGGGGAATTCTCGTTTTTGCTGCTTTTGTGTATGCCACTTATGGGATGGTACGTCTCGACGTGGATGTCCTATTTCCGGTGCAGTCTCTAATCGTGTGTACCCCAACACCTGAATGCAGCCCAGTACCGTCGCCAGTCACGGCCAAGGATTTCGACCGCTGTAATTGCATCGATTTCTGCGGTGTTTTGGGAGACGATTCGCCGATGCGCAAATCTGGTAATATGGTTGCTGGACTGCCTACTGAAAGCGCGCTAGCGGCCCAGACGACTGGGTTTAACAACTTATATATAATCAACTACCTAGCATTGGTTTTTATCTTTGTCAATGGTATCGTTGGGATTATTGGGAGCCGTTTTAGTCAGGAGCAAGTTCGTAATACTATTTTCCGCTTTCTCAATGCTGATAGGAGAAAACTCGTCTCAAAGCTTTTTGGAGGGCAACGCAAGAACGAGCTACTGGCGAGATTTGGCTTGCAGAACCCGGATGTCAGTCCCACGACGTGGAGCAAATGGCGATACGTTTTAGCCAAGGGAATTGCTACGTTCTTTTACCTGACAGCAGTGTCGTTGACTATTCTGTGTCCTATTGTTTTCGTCACAAATATCATTGTCAACGAGGTCGCAATCGGAATGTTTCCTGTGGGCGAGCGAAGCGATGCTGTTGGTGCATGGGGTGCTTGGGCTGGCGCGCTTCTTGTTCTCTTTGCCGCGGTGGTTGATAAGTATAGCAAAGCATGGATGGACTCCATCTTGCTGGCTCTTGAAGGAGCATGGATAATCGTCAAATATTCCAAAGACGACCGAGCTGGTAAGAAGCCCACGATTAGCAAGAGAGTTGAGGAGCGGAATATGGGGCGAAGGATAATAGCCTTTTTCGGGGTAGTGGTCAGCCCCTTCGTCCATAGCTGGTACAGCACCAGGCGCGGATTCTGGACTGTGAAAATACATATGAAGTTCTTTGTTGCTTGGTGGAGGCAAACGGAGAATATGTCCAAGCAGACGAGAGCTGAGATCGAGAGAGCATGGGAGGATGAGCAGCTCAGGATTGTGGGTGGCATGCCCACTTGTCGCTGCCATATATGTACGAAAGACTTCGTGGGTAAGAATGCGGAAATAGATGACCATGATGACATGCCTGGGATAGAGAGTCGGAAAGAAAGGAATAGGTGGAATCGCGGGAGCGAAGACGACATGGCTTTGGCCTCTACTGCTCCATCGAGACCGCTTCTGGCGGCAAGCTCTTCGTTGACGCCACTTTTGGCAACGCCGCAGAATCCAGTTCCTACATCCTCGTCTGGTCCAGTGGATGCGTATGAGACCAGCTCACTGCTAGATAGCCACAACTCATCACCGGACCCAACCGGCGGAGACCAACAGCCTATAGTAGATGGAGACCAACCTCCTCCAAAAGATGGAGGCCATTCCCCTTCCAAAGCTAGAGACCAACTTTCTTCAAAAGCCGGGGCACAACCGCCTTCAATGGATGGAGATCACCCCCATACAACCACGCAAGCTGCATCTTCAGCACCAAACACGCCTCAGACCTCGACCGCCGGGGATCACGGTCCAGCAATCGCAACGCAGAATACAGACCACAGCCCTAGCCAATAGCTCTCTTCAAGTGTAACAATTAAAATTTTCGTGTTACATGCTGTAGCGCAAGCTGAGCATGGGAAGTTAGCCGCTCCGCTGCTTTAACTCTGATATCATGGATGCATTGGGATTTCACTGGCTGATAAACGATGGCCTAGCCTCGTGTACAATTGCTGATGGGATATCTCTAAACCGATGTTGGGATTATGAGACGACGAATAAATGGCTGAAGCTATAATGCCCAAGAATGTGGGGGGGCAAATATATATATCAACAGGGGATAGAACAGGGCCATTAATTAATAACACGATATTAATAGGGTGGTAAAGAGAAGTGTAAGAAATATGACATATGTATATATTTATACCAATTGAGTCTTACCCGAAAGGCTTACCAACTTATTAGGTAGAAGTCAAGAGTAACACCAAAGAAAAGGGAGCAGAAAGTTCGACAGACAGCCCCTAGAATGCCCCGACAATGCGGTGCGGGGTGCTATCCTGGTGGGGCTTCCGCAACCTCACTAGACATTGTCGGCGTTTTCAGCAACCAACATTAAGACACCGTTATACAGTACCATTATATCAAATTTTGATAAGAGAATGAAGGGATATAAATACCCCTACGCTCAAGCTGCCTAGCGATATTTGCGATGGCTTCATATAGTACACATACGATCGACCACCCCATTCTCGGGAAGTTACGCGGGCGGGTTTCGGACGATGGCAAGACAATCCAATATCGCAATATCAAATTTGCTAACATATCTGGACGATGGCAAGATCCAATTCTCTACAGCGGTCCACTAAGCACTAATGGCTCGGTGTTTGACGCTACCCAGTTTGGGCCGTCATGTCCGCAACTGGCGGCCTATTTTAAGGTTGACTTGAGCTTGGTTGGCGATCTTGACTTGGAATTGGACAAGGCGGCCAAGGAGATGGATGAATTTCATTGTTTGAATTTGGTGATTACAGTTCCGAACTTTTCGGCTGATGAGAGGCGCAAGCAAGAGGAGAGAGGGAATGAAAAACTGCCTGTAATGGTTTGGTAATTTACTCAATATTCAAAAGCGGGAGATACCAAGATTACAAGACTGATGTTATGCTAGGGTTCATGGGTTTGTTTCTCCCATTTGAGACTGGAGACTTTTCTAATGAAAGTAGGGGAGGCCTTTTTTCTGGAAGTAACTCTTGGCCCCAATATAGTAAGCGATCAAGTGCCCCAAATGACAACACAACTAAACTCAGCTCCTAGACCTTTCAAATCTCGTTCGGACCTCTACAGAGATAGGAAAGCCAATTATCGGCGTCTCAATCAAGTAGGGAGAGCTATCCCTCAAACGGAACACATGCTAATGATCTAGCTACCGTCTCGGAATTTTTGGATTTCTTGCCTCCGACGAGCTTGGAGTGAGCGGAAACCACGGCCTAAAAGATCAAGAGTGTGCGTTCAAATGGGTACGTTCCATATATGTACTATGTTTTCATCCTTCTAACCCAAATGCCAGACAAAACAACACATCGAGGGCTTTGGAGGCAGCCCTACAAGCATTACCGCATTTGGCGAGTCCGCTGGCTCAAGTATTTCTTCCATACTCATTACCATGAGCATACACACGTATATTCGTTTTTCTGACCAACCCAGTCTCTCTATCAACGCTTCTACATACATACTCTTCATCGCCCCTCTTTAACCGTGTAATCCTCATGTCTGGGGACCCCACCCTTCGGCGGGCCCGTAATATGACATGGCAGAACTCTCAGTACGAAGCTATTGCGTCTCATATATCCCTAGCTGAGTCGTCTGTGGAGTCAAGGGTGGACTTTTTCCGTAATACACCCGCCGACGAATTGATAAACAAGATCCCCCCTGCCGGCCATTGGAGTGCCGCGATTGATGGGACGTTCGTCAGATATGATATTACCATTGGAATTCTCTCCGACCCAAATGACAATAGAGGCAAGCCAGATTGGTGTGAACAAATATTTGTTGGAGATGCTGAGCATGATGTACGTATATCGACCTCCTCTTCTATTCATCCCTTTTCACTCGCACAATAAAACATAGGAACTAATCTTGGCTGGAACCAGGCAACGTGCCTCCACGCGCGTGTTATGTCTCTACCCCCTACCGAATTAATGAAACGTCTCCATGGGGGCCTCGAGAGCACACTTTCCATTTCTCAGTCGGAAAAAGTGCTAACGGATTATTCGCTCACCCCCATGTATCAGAACCCCAGAATCCAGTCAGCAGAACCTCACTCCCAGTTCTATGACAGCGTTCTGGAACTTGCGTCAGACCTTCGCTTTCATTTGCCTAAAGTCAAATTGGCAGAAGGGTTTGCGAATCGCAGGTTAACGGGGTCGGGATTGGCGAAAAAAGAAACCAAGTGGACAAAGTGTTGGCGCTATGAGTATCATCAGGTATTGTACCAGAATCCTTTCTGAATTCTTCGGCGTTATTTCCATTCTTTAAGACATCGCTCTATTTATTGTTTCCTTATGTTCCCAACTTCAAATCAATTAACCTAATTGGGTCGAGTCGCTTCAAGAACGTCAACTAACATTGCGCTTTAAGCCCAATCCAATCCTCGGTTCCAACTTCTCCAACTATGCTGGCCACGAACAGGAGCTGGCTTTCCTCCTACAAAATTTCCCAGCTCTGTCGTCATTCTCCCATTCAGGTCACTCCCCGCCTCATGAGATCCAAGAGAAAACGGCGGAATTTGGAAAGAATATGGCAGCAGTGTGGATAGGTTTCGCACACGGGGAAGGGATCCACAGCCCAGGAAATCGTAACCAGAAAGAGCAAACTGACGACAAGGTATTAGTCATGGGACCGAATTACGAGTTCAAGTTTGTAGCCAAAGATGAGTATAATAGGGAGTATAGAAAAGGAAGAGTGGAAAAGTTGTGGGAACATATTCCGTGGCAGAGATGGTTTGAGCTTGGGGAAAAGTTGCAAGGCTGTTAAGTTCACGCTTAGGTGGAAGACCAAATTGCATCCATTTCGTAACTATTATGAGAGTTGTAAACGATTATGTGAATTTGCCACGGCGTTTTCCTTTTGGATAGGGTGTGCCACTCACTCACTCACTGACTGACTTCTGAGTTGGCCCCACATCGGCAACAACCCCACGAGCCCAACCACAACCCCATACTCCAGCCGCCAGCGCCATGAATCCCATCTAAATCCCCACGCAAGGATCAGAATAAAACTTCGTTCATGTTTCCTAGAGAAAGACGGTTTTTGCAAGTACATTGACATTGCTCACTTTCACTTCAGATATCCTTTTCCCAAAACCAAATTCCGAGGACAAAGCCCCACACCCCCTCGGCATACTTGACAATCCCCCTATCGCAACCGAACACCGCCGAAATTCTCCTATTGTTAATACCTCCAACCACAAACCACGCATTACCTACATCCACCCGAGTACCCCGAGTACAATACCAACACATATAACCGTTCCCTCCCTCCCATCCTTTCCCATCCCTTCAAAATGTCATCCTCCAAACTTTGCACACGGCTCTTACGCAGCAAAGCAAGCCCATCAACAAGCCTGACACACTCAAAATGCACAAGACGACGCTTCGCGACTGTACAGCAGCCAGACAATAAACGGTTACCCCTATCGGGCGTAAAGGTTCTTGACCTAACACGGGTTTTAGCCGGGGTAAGTTCTACTACTATTTACTAAGTAAAAAAAAGGGGATTTAGGGTCCTGCACGTGATCATGGAATACATGAATGGTGCTAATTGATGGTGTGGGATTGTAGCCTTATTGTACGCAGATTTTGGGGGATCTTGGGTATGTGATATGGGATTTCTTAATTTCCTTGTTTTTATATTGGTTTTATGTGAATTTTCTTTGCGAGTTATTATTATTTGTTATTCGGTTAGAGTAGCCCAAGTTGGTGCCGCATTATTTCTTCCTCGGTTGTATAAACGGATCATTCAGCCGATTCTTTTTCTACCGCGGATATTTGTTAAGCCATTTCGGCGAGTTCTCAAAATTGAGGTGGAATTTAGAATTTGGGAATCATTATGTATGCTTGACGTGGCGAGAGGAAGCTAATCTGGGATATCTGTATAGCGCGGAAGTTCTGAAAATCGAACATCCAACACGAGGTGATGACACTCGGCAATGGGGACCACCATACGCCCCATACATCCAAGACAAGGAGACGCGATCAGGGCCTGGCGAGAGCGCATATTATCTCTCCGTAAGTATGGTTTTATTCTTGGTTTCTCCATAATTTTAACCTTGTTATCCAACTAACACACGTCAGGTAAACCGCAACAAGAAATCCGTCGGCATCTCATTCAAAGAGCCCGCAGGCGCGGATGTAATCCGGCGCCTCGCTGCCAAGGCCGATGTTTTTGTAGAGAACTACCTGCCGGGTACATTAAAGAAGTATGGGCTGGATTATGAGACGCTGAGGAAAACGAATGAGAAGCTGGTGTATGCCAGTATTACCGGTTATGGGCAGACAGGCCCGTATAGTGAACGGGCTGGATATGATGTTATGGTGGAGGCGTGAGTTTTTACTTCCTCCTTCCCCCACTAGTTGGAACACTTCTATCATTGGGGAGATTGAGAGACGGACAGCTGATTGAAAAATTGTGGAACAGCGAGATGGGTCTCATGCACATCACGGGCACGCGCGATGGCCCACCAGTGAAAGTGGGTTGCGCAGTAACAGATTTGACGACGGGTTTATACACGGCGAATAGCGTCATGGCTGCATTGTTAGGCCGGGCAAAGACTGGCGAGGGCCAGCATCTTGATGTGTGTTTGAGTGATTGCCAGGTGGCCACGTTGAGCAACATGGCGGAAAGCGTGTTGATCTCCGGGGAGAGGGATACTGGGAGGTGGGGGACGAGTCACCGTATGCTTCCCATTTTCCCACACCTCAGTCTCAATATTTGTACTATGAGAAAGCCCTGGAAACTGACAGCAGACTGTAAATATAGCATCCGTGGTGCCCTACCGCTCGTTCCGCACTAGCAACGGGGATATCCTCTTCGGTGCCGGCAACGATCGACTATTCACACTCTTGTGCGTTGGACTGGGGAAGCCTGAATGGGCTACCGATGCTAGATTTGCCATTAATTCCGCCCGTGTCGAGAATAGAGATGCGTTGGAGAGTGGGATCGAGGAGATTACCAAGACGAAAACGACCGCGGAGTGGGAGCAGGTGTTTGATGGGAAGGGATTACCTTATGCGAAGGTTAATGATTTGATGGATACGCTGAATCATAAACATGGTACGTTTCTCCGCCTTTTTTGGACCGGATTTTGGGGTTCGTAGTGGCGTTACAGGGGATGGTGGATGGGGATGAAGAAGTGTTGCTAACTCGAGGGGAAAATAGTGAGAGCGAGGGGTATGGTTCAGGAGATTGACCATCCTTCTTGTGGACCGATTGAGTTGATCAATACGCCCGTGAAGTACTCTTACTCGACGCCTGGAATCCGAACGCCACCGCCGACGCTGGGTCAGCATACCGACGAGGTCTTGAGGGATGCTATGGGAATGAGCGAAAAAGAGATTGAGGATCTTAGAAGAGGTGGTGTTGTGGGATAGAGTTTATGAGGAGGTTCAGATCGCGGCATAGATTTTGTATAGTAAGGTTCCCGAATGATAGACTAAAACAGCATTGGACGCAAGTACAATTTTGAAAATGAAGACTGCTAGCACATGGTACGATTTAGCTCTAGATCGCCCTTTAAGAAAGCTCGCTGCAAACACAGACACGGTATAATCAAAGAGCAGTGGTGGTTATAGTAGCAAATCAGTCTTTCATCTGTATAAACAGAAATGGAATGCATATTTCGCAGCTATCGCTATCCAAGGACTCATCAACGGAATGTAACCTACAGAATATACCCAAGTATGGTGCAGAGAGTGTATTTTGGGCGTGGCTTCGTCATGCCAACGCAATCCATCGACATCTAGTATGAGGTCATGGAACAGTTCCTCTCAAAGGCACTTACCTTGTATCAGTACTATGGTCAGATCAAGAATGAGCTGGTGATATTGATACACAGGAGTCCGGTGAGGACGAGGGTGCCCGGGCCATATTTGCGGAGACAATGGCCCCCAGGGATGGTTACAGGGAACATCAACCTACCAGACCCTCCCAAAGATCATGTCAACCACAGCTGGGTACCCATCTTTGCCAATCATAGTTCTGCTGTCAAACATGATTCTTCAGTTAATTTCCGAGGAGTTGTCAATGTGTTATGGATTTTCAGTGGAAATGAAGGGCTGGAAACGAATGGCTGGTGGGGACTGTTGAAAACACTCTCCCAACCCCGCACTTGGCATGGGTATGCAGCTTTGTGTCGCGGGCGCAGACAGGCACGTAAAGCACTCGAGAATCGGATGGGTTGTGCGGCAATAGTTTATGACATTGGGAGCACAGTTGATCAGTTGGCTGGAGGAAGAGTAACTTGTCGGTGTGGAACGACTAGGCCGCCTAGGGTCTAGCAGATGAGGCTATTCCTGAACTTCTAGCTGGAGGCTTCCAAAGTATACATAAAAGTGTAATCTATCCCCGTCTAAGCATGCATGAGAACATACGCCACTTGGACTTCGAAACTGCCAAATCGTGGAGATTACGTCTGGCATTGAAGTAAGATTCAAAATGTGGTCTTGAAAGTCCTAGGCTGCAGAAGCCCTGGCTTCTTTTGTCTGGCACTCATATTATACTCTCCTAGCAGCCATGCAAATGCGCAGGAAAGGTCTAAAGGCATCATTGAGCTGAATCTCAAGCCATTCCTTCTCCCAGAATAGAACATGGCACTTAGCATTTGCTTGACCAGGGGAATAGATTCAATCCGTCATGCGTCTTCTGCGGTTGCATAAGCAAGGATATTTACCCCAATCAACAATATACAGGTAAGAAAAAGTACAAGCTGAACAGGTCTACACGTGACAATGCCGAGATCGCTACAGAGTACCTAGTGTACGGAGTCGAAAGAAAGCTTGAAACGATGAATCTGCAGCCACTTCTGCCGCGCCGTTAGCTAGTCGGATGTTTGCAGGTGGCGTGTGAACTTGGCTGCTCGGCTTGACCATCCACTAGCGCCATGCATGCAGAGACCATGAGCGATGCAGATATACGGAGAAAAGCAACTTTGCTGGGATTTGGCGTTGGGTCTGAGGACGAACGACGGTGTCCAGTATGAATGTCCGAGTCGGCCGACAGCCCGAGCCAGTATAAGAGAAAACATGCTCGAGTGTACCATGGGAAGGGCGAAGAAGCGAGGAAAGGTGCGCCGTGAAACGTCCTGTTATGGAGGACGCACAATATCTCAAGACTGTATACTCTGTAATGGCTGGTGTGGTTTTCCCTGGGGAAGATCAATTAACAACGCAGAAGGAACACAAGGAGAGATGATCCTTCGACAGGCAGGCGGCAGGCCATTCCTTCAGCCCCAAACAGCCTGTTTGGTCAAGAAGGGCTGGGAAGCCAGCACGGGGATATCAAAAACCAAAAACGCAATACTGTGCACAAAATTAAGAATTATACTCCGTTGTGGCAAGTTGTTTGGATAGCGGGCGGCGGACAGCTGTAAAACTAACGATGGCTGCTATTGCGGATATCGCACATCGACGTTTGCGAGATTGATTGAGACTGTTGCTATCCATCACTAAAATGGACATGTCCCAAATAATAATAAACGAAAATTTGTGTTGGGCACCAAGCACGAGTAATCATTTTTGATTGTATACTTAGGACTGAGTCGTGGACCGTCGCGAGCGAGGACGGGGCAAAGGCAGGAATCCTATCCAAGGCGCGAACGTGGTTTGTTAGTGCTGATACTGTACCAACATTGTACATGTACAGCTGTCAGCAGCACTGTACCGTGGTTTGGAGCGGAGGGCGAGAGGCGTGAGGCGTGAGCCACGCCTCTTGATGCCAATGCCATGGACGGGTAGAGCGCACCGACCAAAAGCCGGATGGATGTTCCCAGCGCGGAGGATTGATTGATTCAACGGTGAACACGTCGCGGGGCTGGCGGGGGGATCAAGACGCTACGCTACTGTAGTGTCTCGTCTGTACTATGTAGATGTAGACGTAGCCCTGATCCCCGGCTGCTGGGCGTGATGGCTTTGCTCCAGCCCAAGCCCAGGTCCAAGTCCAAGTTCAGGTCCAAGCACGGGGGCGAGGGCGAGGGCGAGGGAGCCTGTACTGTACGCAGTAATAATAATGTAATTCGATCCCAGGCGCGCACACCGCGATTTGTGCAACCAGGAAATCCAGGCCTGAACCACCTGAACCGCCTGAACTGCGGGAGGCCGCATACGAAAGTAGGTGCTCTTGACCGGCCGCATGACGAGAAACCGGAGGGGGTGACGTCGTGGTTGAATGTTGAGTGTCGGGTACGAAGTAAGTGGCAGAAGGATCGCAAGTATCTAAGGTATCTACGTCGTACCTCTGCAGGACTACCTACGGAAAGGAGGAAGAAGCATGAAGCTGGAATTTCGCATCGCCGATTTCCATGGACAAAGCGTCAGCTTCCCCCGTTGAGCGAGACGCGTCAACGCGATACTGACACGTAGGCTCTTAGCGAGACGCGTCCCGGCGCGTCCCGGCGCGTAAAGACGCGCCTTATCGCGCCCCGCGTTGTTCTCTATCAGGAAGATTCCGCCGAGGGAGAGGTGAGAGATGAGAGATGAGAGATGAGATATGAGGGATGAGAGAGAAGAGGAGACAGAGGAGAAGAAGGCGCATTCATTCATTCATTCAATCAATCAATCAATTCCAGTTTACCAGCCTCAATTGGGCGCCTCGATTGGGCTTCAATACAGCAACAGCAGCAGCACCACGATCCTACTCCACGGTGGAGTCTGTCTCTCGTTCTCCCCCCGCGATCCTGCAAAGCCAATGCCCGCAGGCCCTACCGCAACACCGCAACACCGCAACACCGCAACACCGCATTATCGCACAACTCAACCCAAGCCAATCTCACTGAAGCCTCACTGGTAACTACTCTCCCGTTGCATTGCTAGCCTGGAGATCTTAGCGGTGCTAGTCAAGCGCTGGCTCGGCAGGGAAACCGAGAGTTAGGGTTATTGCTGCTACTCGGCTGCTACTGCCACTGCTACTGCTACTGCTACGGACCGCGTCAGGATCAGGATTATTATTGGGGGCAGATACAGATACAGGGCGAAGACGGCCAATTGCACGCGTTTCCCAGCACCAGCTAGTGATTCAGGATCAGACTCTTAATATTCCGCAAAAGCCACGGCTCCACGACGCGTCTTGGGACGACTGGGAACTGGCTGGGCTTTGCCTCGTGTCCGTCGGTGTCTGTGCCTACGGAGCATTCAAGTTGCACGCACTAGCAAGCAACCATCAATCACAATCACCATCACAATCACAATCACAACTGCAACGCCCTGCAGCGCATCGCAGCGCATTGCACTGGCAATCTGCTGCAATCTGCTGCGTTCACGCCTTTGCCCTGCAGTTCGCACAGGCAATCCCCACTGGCCACAGCCGTTGCGTTGAGCGCTGGCGTGAGCGTCGCATTCAACAGCTCTCTTTCCCCAGCGAACAGAAAAGGGGCATTTGGCGGAGTAAGGGGCGAATGGTAGCATCGTGCTGGCAGTGCATTTGCATTTCCCTCCACGCGGGCATTGTGACTGGCTGTTTATTCACGTATTCGCAGCCAATTCGCCCTCCCCGTGACGCGTGGAATACTCAAGGTCGCTGCTACTGTTGTTGATGCTTCTGATAGATTCCCGATATCCTGTCATTCTGATATTCGGGCTCGGCTAGCGGCTGGAGTGGCTCTTTCGCCTGTTCCCTCGCTCTCTTCTCCCCACGCCCGTACCCGCTCCCGCATTCCCTCCTCCTCCTCCTCCTCTACAACTACACCTCCACGCTCTTTATACCCTTTCGCATCCCCTTCCCACCGGCACCTTGCTTCCCCTTTGCTGGCCTCGCTCTCCTTGCGCCTGGAACGGAGCTGCCGATTAGGATCCATAACTTGCTGCGCTGCGCTGCACTGGAATGGGCGTCAGGGCGGATCTGGGGTGAATATACCAGCTTGCGACGAGTCGCGACGACACACCAGACAAGACAGGACGAGACAGCATTCCTGGACAACACAACCCCTCCGATCTCCACCTTCACCTCCCTCCTCCCAACAACTTCCAAACCTCCCTTCATCTGGCTTCGCAGCATCTGCGCCATCATTGCACTTCAGCTCCGCAGCCTTTGACGCGCAGAGAGACTGCCTTGCGACGTCCCGCTTCGCTGTCGCAATCGCCGTCACTTTTGCACTATACACGCTACACAAGCCCAAACCCTCAGCTTTCTCCACCCAACTCCACCCTCATCGTATTTCGGTCTCCATGCCGAACCCTTAAGAGACAACAGACGAGACATCTTGCATTCCTGCAACCAAGCAACTGTTGCTACTACCTGTGATTGACCGGCGCGCAGCTGGTTTCGACTTTCGCCTTTTGTCTCGGTTCACCTTCGTGCACCGTCTTAGAGGCTGCCCGCGCCAAATCGTCGTCCAAAGCTGAGAGGAGCAGCTACCCAACAACATCTTTGCCTTCTCACCTTGCCTTCGCTTTTCCGATCTAATCGCTTCTCTTCGCTGTACTATAATCGTTTTAATCACCCTTTCGACCTGTCGTCTACTGGCGCTGCACCGCCGCATCGCCGACCTGTATAACACCAACATCCGATCACCCCTCCTTACTTCGTGCTTCACCTAGCTCGCCCTCCTTTAGGCCATAGCATTCCAGTGCTGATACACAATAACACAACACACATAATGGCTGACCAATATCCGAATGGCTCAACCACCCTCCCCCGGGACTTCAGATTCCACCATGCGGAAGAGGGACCCCACACCCCGGAACCTATGACCGCCGCACAGGAACCTGAACCACCTTCGCCTCCTCGCCAACCGCGTTTTAAAGTCAGGCGCCGAAATGCTTCAAACTTGCAAGCCCCTACCGAACAATTTCTTGCTTCAGTTGAAGCTGCCGATATTCCAATTCCAAGTATTGAACTGCCACAATTGATCACACCTGGAGACTCGGAGATGAGAGACGTTGATGCCACAGAAGACAATATAACCGACTCGGTGGGATTCCTAGCTCCCGAATTCCATAACCCCCGATCGGGCTCTCCACCGAAGACACCGATGCCTACACGTCCTATGGATGATACTTCTACTACTCACCGACCAAACTGGGCTATGGGTGCTACTGCCTGGTCTCCAGACGATTCTCTCCATCGACCCACATCGTCGAACTCAAATGCATCTTATTTCTCCGATGACTCGTTCTACAGCTGTAGCAGGGCCTCCCGACCTTCTGAATATAGCACGTGCACCAGCCCCGAGTCGGATTTTGAACGCCCTTTCCAATTTCCATCGACCTCGAAGGGAAAGAATAAGGCTCCCTATCTTGGGGAAGCTACTGAGTTTGCAACCTTGAACCAGAACTTGCGTAGCAAGACACGAGCCGATGCCCCTTGGACAAAGGCCATGAACACTCATTTGTGGTCAACCTACATGCTGTACCTCCAGGATCCCACTGTCACCCCATTCAGATTGGGCGCCAATGTTGTCCCCCCTGAAGGAGTTTGTCGCCGGGTTGCCAGAGTGGCGAAGAGGAGCTGGAAAGGCCCAAAACTGGTGACTGCAGCAACTCGTCGAGCCGAAAAATTGGGCTACTCATCTCCACGCGCTTCAGACAAGAGTGGAAGCCTTACCCCCAAGGGGCCGACTTCAAACGTATTTGCAGCTTGGCCCCATTCGGCATCTGCAACTCGAAACCATCTCCGGGAGCTTTGCAAGGGCAAAGGAAACAGTGCTGTGCGACATGGTCGTCATCTACAATCTCGCAGCCCTACGCCCTTTACCAAACCGACATCCTCCAACTTTGCTCGGCTATGTACTCCGGAACCACGAACCATGTCCTCCTTCAGCACCCAGGATATTTCGCTTTCGCTGACCACTAGCACATCCAAGACCATGCAAGCCGACGGCCCCCTTGCCCAGCTAGCGAGCGGAAACTCGGCTGGCACTACACCTCAGGGGTTCAAACCATCTACTTACCAATATCCGCAGTGTTTGGGCCTTGATGGAACTCAAGATATCGTTGACAATGTAGGAGAGGCTAGCCACATTCGCAGATTGGGCTCGCCGTTTGTTGCTCGTACGTATGGCCCGAGTTCCTCTCAGCTCCATCCCAAGGACAGTTCTTCTCCACTACCATCCTCTGGCACCGCTGGCCCCTACCTTCGGTCACCTTTTCCATTCGGAAACACGCGGTCCCTGAACGGCACACAGAAGAGACGAGCCCAGGACACATTGGATGAAGAGATGAACCCCAACGGGGCTGTGGTCCGACCTAGCATTCTGGACCAGCAGCTATTCGGCAAGCCCTTCGGGCATTCGCGTCGGGTCCGGAGTCGGGGATTCTCGCTGGGTGATGAGGCCCTCCGTCGCCGCGCTCCTGTCTCCCAATCTTCACCCCCGCCCAAGTTCAACCTTGCTTCCAATCCCGAGCCTCTCATGACGGATTTAGGAGCCAGTCTGCAAACCCCCACCTCGCATCTTCTTCCACCCCCCACTGTCGATCCACCTCGCCTCGGGTCTCCGTTCGCAGAATCTGGGCCAAGTCAGACCTTCCCTCGCCGTGTACCCAATGACTTCCAGGCCACGGTTAAGCGGAATCCCTACGCAACAATGCATCAGACCCGTCACTCGATCGAGTCTTTTGATTTCGGAGAGGGCCCAAGCCTTCAGAGTCGCCTTGAGGAGCTTGACAAGAAACTCAAGCATATGCAGGAGCGAAAGCAGTAACTGGGTGGCAGACAGTTGATCGCTTTTTCGAGCACATGATTTTGTTGATGTTGAATTTTCTTGTCTTGCATTGTTGAAGCCCGGCGTAATTTGCTTGCGGCATGGCATTTGTTTCTTCTTTTTCCTCTGTTTCCTTTTTCCCTTGTTTTTGCTCACGATGGCGGAGGGATGTCATGAACGCGATATGAAATGACCTGCACGCGCCCGGGAACTACAGAACCTGGTGTCTGACTTTATGCATCGGGATGTCTTTGCGCTGTTACTTACTTCTACTTCTACAACTTTGCCTTTATTTCCATGCACTTGGTGTTTTAACACTGGTGTATTTGCATTTGGCATTTTCACTTCTACACTACTGTTGCCTTTACACTGGATGTCGTTCTACTGACTTGGTGTTTACACCAGAGTTTCTACCTTCTTGCACACACTTTATGTTTGCATTTCAGATAACATCCTCGCTTTCAAAAGTGGGATATCTTTTCTTTTCAGCAAATCTCCCCTTTATGTTTGAGTCTGATGGAATCGGACATCATGGCCAACATTACATGCATACAGCAGGGGTTCAGTTTCTATTTGTTGGAGTTGGATGGAAAAAACGACACGATACGACAACTTCATGACCTTTCACGAAAAATGAACAAAAGAATGCGGGAGTCAACTTACGATGATGATCTTTTATGATAGAGTCGGGCGGAGTTTCATGACGACGCTACGGGGATGATGATGGAAGGGGACGGGAGTTGGGTGTTTGTACATAGATGGCGTGGCTATCCACAGTGGATATTGCAGTTTGTTGAGTAGACTGGTGATAGATTACGAATACTGTACCGTCAAAGGTAACTCTCAGTAAAACCTATTATATATAAAATCTTGGTACTTTGCAACATGTGTATGTGTCGCGTAGAAAGGGAAATCTTAGAAGCACTCTACTTGCTACGTCGAAAAGACTCAACGCTAAGATATTTATTCCCTCTACTCCCCATCCATCCATTCCCATTAGTCGGAGAAAGTCGCCCAGTTGGCATATGTAGCGGAGCTACTCTATACCATTTATTCCCATCTTGATTTATTTGTTATCCTCTCAAGTTACCAAAGCAGAGGTATAGGAGACTTGAGCAGTAAACCCCTCCAACTCTACAATTCGGTATGTTTACTTCCTATTTCCTGATGGGGTTTGCTACTATACCTGCTATGAAGCATCGCCTCGGCATACTCCAGAAAGGCTGGGCGGGCGGCTTTTGCAGGTTTTGATTCGCTTTCTTCCATCCAGGGGTTGGTGGTTAGATAGATCACATATCGGGAGGTATAAGCGGCTTGCCTATCTTCTTCGAGGTAGATAGCGCTATGTCCCAGAATCTGGGGGTTTCTATCAATTTGTTAATAACTAAAACCGTTGGCTGGGCTTTAAGGCATGGAGCAATTTAAAGTTGGGCAATGAGTCTCCGCAGCATTCATCTCTCCTTTTCGGCAGGTGTGGGACAGGCCGGTAATAGGGAGTTGTTGAAATAACGTATGGTTTCCCGAGCCGTGCGCTACTTCGATGTTGGTTGGAGTAGTTTTCTGATTGGTAAACTGTACGGATCTCGCGATATTGTTTGCGCATGGCGGCATACTCGTTTTTTCCTTTTTCGGCAGGTCTAGAGGAGGCCAGTAATAGGGAATGGTTAAAAGAACGTTGGGTTTCCAAAACCCTGCACTTCTTGGATGTTGGTTGGAGTGGTTTCCAGATTGGTGGGTAAACAGTGCGGATCTCGTGATATCGCTTCTCGGACAGGGAATACCCCCTTTTGGGCAATGGGAGTTGCGTGGCTGGGAATGCTAGGGAGCATCAATAAGTTGTGGCCGGCAAGCTGGTTTTGTTGTTGACTATGACACTTTCGTTAGCTGAGGGTTCGTGCGCCGTTGTGGTCTAGAGTGTGTAGTAGGGTACATCAGCATGGGATATTCAGGACAGGCTGGCAATGGAAAAGTGGCTGAAAGAACGGTTGATATCTGGAGCTCTACGTGCTCTTGATGTTAATTGCGGTGGTTTTCTAGTGGGCGAACTCGCACTCGGCGGAGTCATACCCCTATTTCGAGCAATGCATTGTATTGCAGTTGGTGGGCAATGCACGCCTACATGTGCGCTTTGAAGGGGAGGTGGATGGATTTGTTACAGCAGCCCCGTCAAGGGCCTTCTGTCGTCGATAGATGTTGGCACTGTGTGACTGTGTCGTGTAGGCTACCAACTTCGGAACTTTTTCTTTGACGGTTCAATGCGAAGCTCAGTTGCGGAGGAAAATGTTGGATCTAAAGAACTAGTTGTATTGGCGTTGTATACGTAGTATGCAAGAGGAGCATCGTAGCTGGGAACGTTGGGGGGTATCAATAAGTTGTTGCGGGCGAATTGTTGTTGCGGACTATGGCATTTCCTTCTAACTGAAGCTTCATTTGCACCTCTGGCCTAGAGAGGAAAAAGGGGGTAAATCGGCATAAGAGGTGACAGCCCTGTTTGATGTTAGTCTTGCACTTTCCACGATTATACTATATACTTACATCTATAGAACAGTCTTGAGCTTCCTGGAAAGTTCAATAATATGCAACAGGTGGTTTTGTTGTCCCACAGAGATATTCTTTGAGAACCCAAAGTCAAATCGTGCTAAGATACTACGGTCTCCTCAGGGGGGATCTGGGGGATACCGTCCCGCCCCCAAAAATGCAGCTACTACTACTAACGGCCCACGATAGTAGTTGGAGCGTCGATAGCCGAGATGGATAGGGGCTTCCGCCAATTCCGCACTGTTGGCGGATAAGCGTGGCAGAATTGAGACTAGCGGAGGGGCTTGTGGGAATGATGTTCATACATGTACATATGTACCTTATGTATGTATATACTGTTGCGGTTATCTGATCGCTAGACTATCGGTAGCACCAATATATATGTGATGGCGTTTCTGGGATGCTGAACACTAGGGGGAAACGAGCAGGAAAGGAAGCTGTTGTTTATTAGCACGCCGATATGACGTGAGAAAGCGATATGTATACTCGTGGCTGGAAAATGCGGAGCGTAAAATGAGGTAAAATGTAATTCTCTATCTGGGAGTTTCTAGGTTTGCTGTTAAAATAAATCACATTGGAATTGGGTGCTTGGTACTTACCTACTGGTGTATGGGCTTCGTTAGATATTGCTGAATCACTTTTCTAGCTGCGCTGACTATTAATATCCAATTGAAGATGATCTGCAAGAGTGACCATGATACGGGGTTTCACGGTGTCTCCAAGTCAGTCAAAATTTAGCAAAGTTTTGTTTCAGCGTGTGCCATCCTACTACAACCATTATCGAGCAGGTCAATCTGTAACCACACTCACAAATATTACCCCAATGTGGCGAAAGGAGGAAGCTGAGCTTGTGTGCTCGTATCACCCCGAGGCAGCTTCCCAAAGATTCCAAATCCGCTGGGGTTTGCCTTGTCGTTGCATACCGAGGTTGTGCTGTGCCTCTGTGGTGGAACTGTTGAATGGCCTGCGCAGTGCTTTCGCCTCGCCTCGGCATTATCACCGACAGGCAATACGACCTATCAGCATGTTGTGATTGGCTATAACAATGGCGTCAATGATGTTGGAGTAACTTGATATAGCTTTTGTCGTTTGATCATTTTAAGAAGGAACCGGAGATTTGCATATCAGTATACTATTTACGTTATCAGTGAGTTAGCCCACTTGTCCCACCCCAAGACTCCTCGATAGCTGCTTTTGGCAACAAGCCGAAACGCTGGTAGAAAAGCAAATACTAGCGCCATATGAATGTACTGGACTGTACTGTAACAATAGCATGTGCGATAAGCATAGCCGCAAGCGCTTCCACCGCGTGGGAGCGGGGACCATTTGGGTTTGAATCTCTCGATATCTCTTGGACTCCACCATAGTCCTGCATACTTTAATAATGCCCTTGTACTCCGCAAGGATAGGGGTTTGGATTGACAGGTGACTTGAATGGACTAATGGACTGATGGGCTAACGATACAGTATCATATTGGCCCCAACATGCCACTACACATGGGATAGATCTCACAATGTCGCACTGACAATATGAGGAACAGTGCCGTATTGGGCGGGTTACGGCCCTTACGGGGCATAGCAGAATGTAAAAATAGCCATTGATATGATTCTGGAGGGATCAAGGAAGAGGCAAGGAAACAGGTTGTCCCAGATTCCCAAGCCATGGGAAAGATGCATTGCAGTAGCCATTGGAGGGCTGCACGTCCGAAGGTTGGCTGATTGGCATAAGTGACCAATATCCGGGGCACGACGGGTAGTTGGCCGCTACTGTACTGTTCAGAATGTTCCAAACAAGCCAGCTCCGGAGGTTTTCCCAATGAGGGTGCTAAGGCGACTAGCCGTTGCTGAAGACTGACTTACCGTACGCCTCCAAGCCTCTACCATAGTACCAAGCCCCTAAGCACGCCCCGATGCACGCCCCTAACACCGCCTGTACTGTACGGCACCAACGCCCCTACTAGAGCCCCAACCAACCCCACCAGCTAAAGCTCGTACATCGAACACCTCAGCAATGCCAGGCATTGTCAGCACTCTCTTGCGACGCGCTCCCGTCCCCTCCTCCAGACTGTACGTGTACGTACTGCGCACGAGGTACAACGTTGTATCCCGAACATCTTCCGCCTTTCGAGCGGTCAGCTCGCCCATTGTTCGGTTTGTGCTGGGTGTTTTGCCTCTGCTTCCAAACCCCAACTCTCCTCTCGTTGGCCGATCGACGGGCTCTATCGCAATCGGCCCGCAACAGTTAAGCCAAGGGAGGCTATCAGATATCTCCGTCGTTCTCCTCGCCAGACTACAGACTCCAGACTCCAGAGATACGGGTATCAAATCCACCTGCTAAGCTCTCGGCTTCCTCCAGTCCCACAGTTCGCCGGTCCCGACGACCTCCTGCTCGAATGGGCACTGAGAGCACGCGAGATGATCGCGGCTTATACGAAGCTTTCCACCGCCCAAATTAGGTCGCCCGCCGTCGGTCTGAGACCTCAACGTGGATGTGTACCGCGGACGCACGCGCTGTTCCTCCCGTCGTGGTCGTCCCGGCGCCGGCCGGGGGGAGAAGCTGGGATCGACGGGGAATAAGGGAATAAGAAGGTGGCCAAGGGAAGATGTACTCTGTAGGGCCTCGGGACGAGAATAATTGACGATACTGCACATACTGGTACAGTACAGAGTACCGCACAGAGTACAGTGCAGTCGGAATCCAAGGTTCTGGTGGCGTGCGCTCAGCGTTGCGGCCAGGAGCATCCTTGATGGCGCCGAGCGCCCCCCCGCTGTCCCCCGCTGTCCCCCTCGATCCTCACAGGGAGCAAAAAGGGAAATACTCTTCGTACAGGGCTCCGGGCTCCAATCCCTCTCGGTAGAGTCGTAGTCGCCGGTTGATATCGCGCTGTTGCTACAGTAGTAGACTCTGCTGCAGGCCCTCCAGAACGTGGTTTGCAGCGAATCCATGCGACAGGGACACTACGGGCCAGTAACTACGGAGCAAGAGCATGCAGATGTGCTACTGGCTGCTTCATCATTAATTTGTGCATCGTCCAAATTGCCGGTGCTGGAGGGTGATACTCGAGCGCTGCTGTTCAATATACGAAAACACGGGGTTATTATTCCCAAGAGATCACCCGCCACCAGCTTCCTGCTTATCGCCCTGCTCGTTTTCGTGGCCCGCCTATCATATCAGCTATAACTTTGTACACGGCTGGCGTTCATCAAAATGCCGTTCAAATCAGAATACGCCCGTTGATGATGCTGTGTTTCTATACGACACACGTCGCAGGTATGGCGGAATAATGTGGTCTATCAATCAATCAATGTCTCGCTCTATGCGAAAGCGCACCCCACGGCATCGCATCGCATCGCGACGCAGACGGGCAGGGAGCCCGCTGTCCAGCAGGAGCTTGAGCACGAGACGAGGACCATCCAACTGTGCCGCTGGCTCTTGCGTTAGAATGAAGGGCAATTGAATACGAGGAGACCGTTGGGATATTGAATTTCTTCTTATTTATGGCGATTTATGCACACCTTCCAGATAAGAGCTTTCTGAGCTTTTGAAGCCAACGCCACGTCCCTTGGCCCCGTTAACGACCTTCCTATTGCAGATCCCTATCTTATTCGGGACCGCCCGAGTTCTCTAACAAACTTATCTCGTCGGCTCCCTGACTGCCCTGATTTCCCTTACTACCCGGCCAGCACCGGTCGAAGTCAGCCGCAGGGTCGTGACAAGTCCTGGGCCATGGACCTGTTAATCCTGTTGTCGTGATAGCGGCCCCCCCGCAAAGCAACAACCTTGAACCACCTGCTGCTCCATTTATCCAACTGCTTATTTGGGGATGTTGCTCCGAGACTGATCTGCAATGATAGTGATAATGGGTAAAACGGCCTCCCCAGGGCGGCATGAGGGTCGCACCTTCCAAAGCTTCCATGCGACCCGGGGTTGTGCATGCTGTTGAAAATCACTTAAAACTGCTTCCCCGGCACCGTCTGTACGCTCCATGCGCTGTCCTGTTTTCCTTTCCATCCAGGGTCTCAGAACTCAGCAACGATGAGTAAGTTTCTGTGTCCGAGCCTCATCTTTCAAGGACGCCTACTAATGATCTCCTTTAGCGCAAGAAAACAAAACGGCTGATGCCCAAATCATGCTTGGGGCGGATGCCCACTTGGACATGGACCGTAAAGGTTCAATGGTCGAGACGGATCCAGCGGCCAGAGCAAATATCGACGAAGACTACGTGAACCGGCCCACCGAGGAAGAGCGTACCACTCTCCGCAGAATCCCGGGTAGCCTCCCAGCGGTTGCCTATGTCATTTGCGCCGTCGAGTTTGCGGAACGAGCATCTTACTATGGAGTCCAGCCATTGTTCGCCAACTATGTCAACCGAAAGATGCCCACTGGTGGTAACGGCTACGGCGCCCCTCCAGCGGGCAGTGAACTTCCCGCTGGAGCTCTGGGCATGGGGACTGTGAAGGCCACCTCCGTATCTCAATCCTTCTCTATGTTGGCATATACTCTACCCTTGGTATTTGGGTGGCTTGCCGACACGAAAACCGGACGCTTCAAGATGATTTGCTACGGTGTTGGTGTTTGTGGTGTTGCACACGTTATCAGTAAGTGTTCAGTCTTCTCAACCGCCATATGGCTGTGGCAGGCCCTCCCCCGCTACCTCGGTGTATTTTTTCTTGCCATGGCCCCTCGCATCTACCTATGGATGACTATGCTAACTGTAAGGCAGTGGTTGCCGCTGGTGCACCGTCTCTTCTGGCTAGTGGAAATGCGAAGATCCCATTCTTTCTCAGTGTATATATTCTGTCTGTTGGCGCTGGTAAGCTACGCCTTTGCTCTATTTGCATATGCCATATTAACGAAATATAGCCATGTTCAAGCCAAATATTTCTCCCACTCTGCTGGATCAGATGCAGTCTTCCAGGCCAGAAACTAAAGTTTTAAAAACCGGAGAGAAGGTCATTGTCGATCCCGAGCATACTGCCGAGAGGGCCATGCTGTGGTTCTACCTCCTCATTAACATTGGAGGCTTCATGAACGTTCCTACCACCTATACGGAGAAATACGTCGGGTGGTGGCTCTCGTTCTTACTTCCGCTGTTCCTTTATATGCCACTCTTACCCCTTCTCTGGTACCTCCGCAAGCGACTCATTCTCTACCCCCCAGGAGGAAGCGATCTCACGAATGTTTTCCGTGTCCTTGGAGTCTGCTTTAAACGTGGAGGCTTTTTGAGCATGTTCCGTCGCCGGAAGGGAAAAAGCTTTTTCGACCCTGCGAAGCCGTCCGTTATTGCTCAGTCTGGCCGTCCTCTGCACGTCCCTTGGAATGATGAATTCGTGAACGATGTCCGCCGCGCCTTCCAAGCAACCGGTATCTTTATGTTCTTCCCTATCCAGAACATCAATGACAATGGATTGGGCAATTCAGCAAACGCGCTCACTACGATGTTGAAGACCAAAGGTGTTCCTAACGACGTTATCGGCAACTTCAACTCGCTCTCTATTATCTTGATGGCCCCTGTCCTCAACTTCGGTCTTTATCCACTCCTTCGCAAATGGAAGATTCACTTCGGACCCGTAGCACGCATAACCTTCGGTCTCTCCATGGCTGCTGTCGCCGGCGCTGGATACGCTATTATCAACTACTACGCCTACAAACTCGGACCATGCGGTAACCATGGCACGACGGGCGAATGTGAGATTGGTGAGGGCGTTGCCGATATCACCATCTGGTGGATGGCAATTCCTTATGCTTTGGGAGGTATCTCTGAACTCTTCGTCAACGTCCCGGCTTATGGTATCGCATACTCCCGTGCACCTCCCAACATGCGAAGTCTTGTTTCTGCTATCAACTTGTTCAACTCCGCCATCGCCTATGCATTGGGTCTCGCTTTTGCCGGCCTCATCAAAGATCCTTATCTGACCTGGGATTTCGGTGCCCCAGCCATCATCGGGGTGGCCATCGCCATTGCCTTCTATTGGATCTACAGAGATATCGACAAAGAGGAATACACACTGTCCACCAATACGCAGTCGGTCGATCCAGCAGAGGGTAGCCATCTCAAGGTTCCACCACAGGCAGACCTCGATGCTAGCAGCGAGGGTGAGGCAACTAGTGACAAGCGCGATGTCGCGCCACTTCCTCCCTATGCGGTGGATGATGTTGGTGGCGAGAAGAGGCTCGAATCGGGCATTCAGGAGGTCAAGTAATGAGTCCCTAGTGCATTTCCCAGATGCGCCGTTGCTGCTAGATGGCTAGGGGCGGAAGTGTAGATAATTAATATTGATTGGAGCTACAAACGAGCCTATAATTTTAGCTGATCAATGATATAATTATGATCCTTATGTTTATCATTTCTGTGTCCTGCTAAGCTGTTCTTGATTTTTTGAGAGTGATATCTCATTCAATCTAATCGCCATGCTGTTTCTTCCAAGTGGGATATCATCTCCAAAGTCCATAATAATCATGAGGTCTCTCGAGCCTTCCTATTCATCTTCATACTTCGAGTTAAACGCTTCTTCTAACCCACGAACATTCTTCCCACCGATCTCCTAGGCGTAATTTCCACATGAATCTTAGGAGCTGGGTAGGAGTTAGAAAATAGCGATATTAAGCAATCACTGTACAAATACAAACACCCCTCTTTTGCCATCCACCTCCCTAACCGGACAACTACGAATCAAGTTCCTATCACCATCACCCTCATCTTTATCCTCATCTCCACCTTTATCACATCTACAATCGTCCAAGTTGGCAAAAGGTTTGTGTTGCTTGTAAAGGGCTGGCCACCGTAAAGTGTCGGAGCTGCGCTTCGATAGCGTTCTCCGCGTAGCAAAATCGACGTTGCTGCGGCGCCCGTTGTCAATGAGCGAGGCAGCCAAAGCAGTCGGCGAGTTTCCCCGATTGTATTGCCTAAGCTGCTCCTCCACGGACTTGTTTATGTTCTCGTTCCTTCGCCGAGTCTGTATGAACGAAGAAGACAGGTCCGGAAGGAAGGAGTTGCGTCCCAGATTTGAGGCAACGAGGTTTTCAGGTCTGGGAGAGCTATCTTCTAAAAGGGATTACGTGCCCCTCTAAACACTTCCCAAACCTTTATATCTTATTGTTGCCAAGGTTCGTGAAAAAGTTATGAGGTGAGAGCAGGAGTATAATCTCGACAGAAGCAGCAAGGATTATCAAGGGTGATTAGGAAATGTGCGCCTGTGTAAGGTTAGGCGGAATCCGGGTGGTTGATATCGGAAATCGCTTTGACATTGTGCTTCACCTTCACCTAACAGCATAAGTACATGTTTAGTATACCCATTTCAATGCTGTCTAAAGCTGAGTGGATGCAAACGAAGGTGGGGCATACCAATGGTGGACATGGCTCAAGTAGTTTGACTTAAGTATCCCAGTTGCCAAGGAAGCCTTGACTGGCTTAAGTTTGTTCGACTGAAGCTTTTGCCATTTGTGGAGCTCAATACTTCTAGAAGCAGGCTTAGTCTTCCGAGATATGGTATGTAGATTTGATAACTTTCGTGGAAGTAGATCCGAATAGTCACGTAAGGCGTAGTTGGCGGCCGAAGGGGAATAGGGAAAAGTGACCAAGAATCTTGAGTGAGAGGGCGAAGGTGAGCCAAAGGAGGGTAGCGCTGTGTTCTATGTTGTGTGCCAGGCCGCATCTACAACTTACTAAAAACACTTCTTTCCAAATCCTCGACGACGCATCCGCAGTTAGCATGCAAAATACCACTAGCCTCACTCAATTAAAACTAGCTGAAGGGATACCAAACATGTGGAATAGGTGGACTGATTAAGATCGCGAAGTATACATTTAGAATAGGAGTCAATAGCTGCTGCGCAGCTTTTCTAGCCAGCTCTTCTAGGTAAGCCTTGTCCTAACACCTAATGCAAACCCACAGCTTCCTAGCCCTCCAGAAACTCAGAAACCCAGAAAAGATAACGGGCTGGCAGATCACAGATTGCGCCAACCATTGCGTACAAGGCAACAAACCTTATCCCCGTTGTAAATTGCCCTGGGAGAAGGTTGAAAGGGGCAAGGAATGAGCAAGTCACCCATTTCGTGCATCAGCACTCTTGGCTAGTGCAAGTACTTTCACTGGTGTTGGTCCTGCTTATCAATAGCTGGTTCATAGACATACTGTTTCATGCACAAGTGCTAAGTTTTGTTTCCTTCCTCTGGGTAGATATTCGAATATCAATCGCTGCTTGAGCGCACAGTGCTGTTAACTCTGTGGCGCTCTCAAGATGCACAAGCCTTTCAGAATTCGAACTTTCCTTAGACATGGAGACCTGTTAACAGCTATACTATAGCACAGTTAGCCAAAAAGACGGATGCTGAAATATTCAATACTATAACAGGACAAATGCTTCGCTTCATCGACTTGAACGGCTAACGTCCGAACAACCTCATACTATCGATTTTCGAAAGGCAGCCAATTCATTCGAGCAAAATGACGTTCGGATATGGCAACGTTGTCAACATAAATCATTATTCTGGGAACTGAAAGACTAGAGTTGCCGGACAAACGAGTTCTTTTGAGGGGTTAATTATGGGGCATCACCCCGCAAGCAAATCTAAACTGAGGGCCACTCCCCCCGAAGGATGGGATCAATGCACTCCAGCCAAGGAGGCATGGAGCGATGCTCCATTGTTGGTGGTGGTGGTGGTGGTGGTGGAGAGCGGGAGCGAGAACGTCTTGGGGGCAGGCCAGGGCGGTTGGACTTGGGTCCAGCCCAGCCATCCCTTTCGTCCTCGTCGTCCTCTTCATCTTCTTCGTCCTTGGCCTCGGCCTCCTTCATTTCCTCATCATCGCCATCGTCGTCGTCGTCGGTGGTCTTCGCGACCGTCTTCCCCTTCCCCTTCCCCCTTCCCCCCTCCATCCCCTTATTTCCGGGCCTATAGTCGGCCTCGCTAAAATCATGCATGAGTATATGTCCCAGGTAATATTAACCAAATTTCTTACAAATTCTGTGTGACCGCAGCCCGAAGTCTAGCCGTCATCTCCTCCTTCTCCATCTCAGAAGCCGCCTTATAGGCGCTCCCCTCCTTTAAACCCCGCACAGCCCGGGACAGGCGCTGGTTGAGGGCAGTCCTCCTGTTGTCTCTGTAGAATATGAGTACAACCTTTGAATTACTGAAATTGGGTGGGTAATTGGCGTACCTGCTCGTGGACTTCTTGGCAGGCTTCTTGCCACTACAAACACAATTAGCTCCTGAATATCTCAAATTGGATAGGAGACTTACCCTGCGCGGTTCTTTTTGGGAGCCATTTCTGCTGTGTAACAGGTTAGCCTGTTATCTGAATCACGTAACTTGCGTGAGGCATTTACTGTAGGGAACGGGGTTAGCGATAAGGGGTGAATTTCGCACAAAGAATGAGATATTTACCTTTCGTATTAAGTACTAAGGTCTGAAGTCGGTTAGTAAGATCTAGAATCAAGAACTGTGAGGGGGAAATTTACAGATTTCGAATTTGCGAGGTGCTAGAGACGGGTCAGCTGAATAAATTTGGGGACGCAAATGTTTCAGCCAGGTTGAGTAACTTACTGGTCAAGATATGGGTCTGTTCTACATGTGTTAACATCATATCGTTAGGTTGTACATCACTCAATCTTTGTGGGTAACTTACTTGCGCAGGCTGTTATCTGGTGCACAGAACTAGTCAGCATTTGTCAACTCATCCACCACCCTGCACATCCAGCCGCGTGGGTGCTCTAGAGATGATAGGATACTATCTTACCTATAAATCGGTTAGCAACAGCTGACGGGATGGGGGTTGAAGTTTATGGCCTACCTCGAAATCTTGGGGATGCTAACGAAAAAAAGGAAGGGGAGGGAGAACGTTGAGAGAAATATATGCGTGTGGGAGCCATATCGGCGGCCTAGCTCGATTGGGCGGAGCATAGTCTGTCTGGCACGTTAGTTCATATTTCCTCCATCCAAAAGCTGTTATTATGCGGACACAATAACAAAACTATCACGACAATACCATTCTACAACGATAATTGGGCAAGAGTAACGCATATCACTTAATATCACTAGACGCAGGGAAGGATGGAAGCATTGGCATGAAAGGAGCCATGGTAGGAGCAGCCATCGGGCTGAACTACAGGTAATCTGATATCCAGCTCTCAGACAGAGGAAACGCCACAGTCATCAAGATGCGAAGGCTTAATTGACGTCTCAATCTGTGGCAGGTTTGCACTGTGGTGGGATTGGAGCAGCTTGGAGCAGCGGTTTGTGGCGGCCAAAGCAAGGCGTAGTAGGACGCTCCTGCAGCTTGACCTGCCCATGACTATGATCAGGAATGCTTAAGATCTCTTTTATAAGATGCAGCCAGTTTCTTTTGAAGAACCGGTATCAGCCTACTGTCTCCCTGCTAATAGAGCTCGCATCATCGTCAACATCATCGTCGATTGAATTGCGGCGCGTTGCTCGCAGATACCAATTTTAGGGTTTCCTTGGTAGGGCGTGAGAAGCTCTGCAAATAGGCTTTGGGTCGGGCGAAATAGCAGAGGTGACTTAGGTATTTGGTTGTTACTTCCCCCATAGTTACTATGTAGCGCTCTGCTGACAACATCGCTTCATCGCAACCTCTAGCTTCGAGGACCAATTTCCAACTTTGGACTTTTGGCAGAACGATCGACCGCCAAACCCAGAGCCAACATGAGTTGCGACCCTATCTTCCGATAAAGAGCAAGGCTGTGATTTGCAACATCAGACACCACACTACTCTCGATATACCAAACACTACACCAGCGAAAGCCGGTTACATATTGTTCTGGGGCCTCGACTGAGCCTAATTTAGCCTCTGCTGCCAAGTCAAGCCTCTGGCGATCTGGGAAAAGCCCCAAAGGCGTTAAACTGCACCCATTAACTGTATTGGAAGTGGAGCGAGTGGCAGCAAATAAGAATTGCAAGCCCAAAGACGTTCAAAGGCAAGCCCTGTCACCAGGACACATGGAGGATCTCAAAAGCACAAGCCATGAGACTGGCGAGCACATCTACACAGAAACCACACCACGATCTAGCAACAAGGCCTTCTTCCTCTGAAAAACAGCTCGGCTTCAAGAAACAACTCAAATACACATAAAAGAAAGTTCATGGGACCCTTTTATACTTAAGTGCGACACTTGCGCAAAAAAGCTATCCTCCATGGCAATCATTCAGATCTTCATCGTTCATGACATATGCACCTGAACTTACACTGATATCGGTAATAGCTTTGAATCATAACGTCGCCAGCCAGGTTTTCTTGCAACAGAATGAATACCCAAGACAAACAGCGTCAACTTGGCGATTGTCACGAATAGTTTGTTTACGAGAAGTCGTCCTTCAAACTTCAACTTACGAGTTCAGTGACAAGACGCGATATGGTCCGTGCGCCGATGTACGAGTTGATAAATGCGAATACGAATACGGATGGCTGCCCCTGAACAAGCTCATTACCCCTGAGATCACCTGGAGAGACACATTGAATCTGGCTAGGAAAACAGGTTAGGACAGGGGTATTGGTGCTATAGTAGTGGGCTTATCATTTTTGGGGATTGCAAACTTTTCACAGTGCACAGGGCCCCGGTGGTTACATCTGTTGAATATTAATCATTCTGGAGCGAAATTGTCCCACAAGATGACCGAAAGTGGCGGGAATATACACCCGACTCATGGGGATTAATTTTTGCTCATGGCACTTCAGGGATACCAGGGAGTCCTTTGTCTATTGATTTTATGCGTTATTTAGCAGGTTGTTTGAGGAGTTAAAGTCCACCCTATCCACGCAGTTTCTAGAGCATCAAGCAAATTGCAATGATGTTGATCCTGAGCTGAATCTCATCTGTATGTCTCCTCGATCTCCTTTTGATACAACCTAGTTGTCAACCTTCTGACCACCGTGCCTTTCCCAGCTCGTACAAGTGGCTTATCAGGAGAAGCCACAATGACCAGATTCCGAGCAACTCGCACATGCTCAGGGACCAGCGCATTTGCATCCACCACGGCCGGCCAGACGAGCTCAATCAGTTTCTCTGAAGCAATATCTGAACGCTTAGGTTCCAGCAATAACCCACAGGCCGTATACCCTTCCCCAAAAACCAAACAGCCCTTCAAGATAGGGTGACTCTGCAATCTAGTCTCGATATGTACTGGGTTTGCCTTCAAGCCATTGTGTAGGACAAGGATGTCATCCAACCTCGACTCAAATTTCCAGCAGTTCTCAAAACCAGTATCGGTACATTTCCTCATCAAATCCCTAGTTCGCCACTCCTTCTCTTCAGGGAAGAAATCAAACACGGGAGTGGTCCAAGCGAAATTTAGATCTGGATGTCGCCGCCAAACCACTTCATAGAGGCCTTCTTCTGCATCTACCAGCTCAAGATGGGGACCGATTTTGGGATGGAATTCCATATATGACCAATGGGATTTAGGCGGAATGAGCATGGGAATCATCATCGTCTCGGTGGAACCAAATATTTGCCAAAGACGAACATTGGGTAGGTTTTTAATTATCCATTCTCCTGTTGAGTGCCCCAGGGGTCCTACACTCATGGGTTAATTGAAACGGAGTCAAAGGCAAATTGCAATAGTACACTACTTACCTCCAAGCCAGTTGATATGCTCTAGGCTCCTGAGGTGCTCTATGATCTCCTCACCACGCTCTGCAAACACCGAATCGCACAAGCTAGGCACCAGTGCTGCACCACTCACTTCAGTAGTTTTGAAAATGTTAGATATAGTTTGACCATCCAACAATCTATCCGCTGGTGGGGCGATAACAGTGTATCTATGGAACAAAGCAGACACAGTAAAGGCCACCCCACTCAAGTGGTAAAAGTTCGTGCCAAGCAACAATGTCGTTCCCGGCCTGCACAAATCCAAAGAAGCTAGGGTTCGTCCATCCACAGGCGGAATGATATGCTCGCAGTCCATGCGCCGCATGAATGAATTGGTCAAGGTAATTGGCTTGGGATTCCCTGTTGAGCCTGATGTATGAAGTATTAGGAATACATCGTTCTTCGCTTCCTCCCATGATTTTGTATAGGGGTAAGGCATTGTTTTCTCTAAAGTTATCTCCTCCAAGCTTGGGATCTCGAAAAATTCTAAGCCACCCACAAACTCGGAGATTGAGTCTTTCTGTTCCCCAAATAGCCCGGAATAAAATACAATCTTGCAGTTCGTCCTCTCCAACAAAGACGCAGTATTCGTCGGCGCATTTCGGGGGCTGGGGATCAATAGAGGGTGTCCAGTCTTAATCGACGCACATTCCATGACCAAATAGCGGAAGTCTTGTGACCCAACATAAGCAATTGTCTGTCCTGTGACTGAATTGCTTTTGCCCAGAGTTCTATCAAGCCAGTGCGACATGAAGTTTATTGCGTTGGAAAGCTGGGAAGTGCTCAACGTGATGAAATCGATGGGCACCGAGGAATTCGCTCCAGGTTTAGGCATCATGCCCAAAATATAGTCCGGTTCCTCTGCGGCGAAGGTATCGACAACTTGGGGTAGTAACCTCTGGCCATATTTGATGGTAACATCATTTGTTTTGCGAAGCTTGGCGGGCCCATTTGCCATTGCCATTGCCATTATGTCGGATTTCTGTATTGGCCTGGCAGAAGATTTGTTTTTCTTCTCAAGAGTTCCTAGTCAGCCAACGAGCCATGGCACGGAATATTAGGTCAAAGAAACGGGAAAGGACCATTTAAATAAGTATAACACCCTATCGATGAAGGAAACGTTGTATAGAAGGAAGCGGCTATCCTTGACACGCGTCGTATTAGAAGAGCACTTATTTAGTAGTTGTATTTTGGCACTCGCAAGACTTCCCGAACCTCGTAAATGTCCCCTCGAGGGGCAAGATTGGATCTACCTAGTGCTTATTAGTCGTTATGTTTGTATGCTAGTTCAAGCATTTCACCGTTTACCCCGCTAGGATTGACCCAGTTCTGGTCTCAGTCATCCAACCACAGCCGCCGTATTTCCTGTCTGTGTTGTGGTCACCTCGCAATTACGGAGTACCCAAAGGTCAGCTCAGCAAAACCTATCAAGCACTGCTGAGGGCCACTAGTAAGTCGATGATCACTAATGTGGGCGATCACACGGAAATCTCGGGCCCTAACATCTATCGCATATTAATATGTGTTGTGTTAGTAACCTGTCGCGCATGAGCATGGGTTCAATATCCCAAAAGCGTCACTGAAGTGGCTGAACCTCGGTCATGATACAAAGTAAGTTATTTCCCTGTGATTTCCGAATAAAGCGCGACAACGTCCAATTTAATCAAGACAACGTCCATTTGATTCGAGAGGTCCACGTGCATTTAAGTTACCAAGAGGGTTAATTAGTAGCACGAATTAATGCGCACGATTACTATCGATTACGAAGTTCAGTAATCGATTGCTAGCATATGAGTGGGATCTGCAATACATACAGTTACACTTCCTCGCTTTAGTTGTAGCACAGATCCTGGTTCGCTCTTTCGCAACTGGGACTCCTCTGGATTTTGGAACGAATTTTGAAAGGAAGATGAATTTAATCGTACCCGATAGGCCACACGCAGTCTACCATTATAGAACAAATCCCTCAATCTCTCCTCGCGCCTCAGGTATTGCATATCTATCGGTCTGTGCTCTACATATTTGTCCACCTTGAGCTATTTATCCGTGTTAGCTTTTATTATTGCTAGGAATAACAAAGTCAAGAGTTCGGAGACCTACTCAAAATAGCTCAAGGGGTCAGAGGCAAGGTGGCCAGGGTATGTGAGGTGAAAATGTGAGGTGTCGAAGTCGATTATGGAAGCGACTCTGGTAGAAATTGCATATCAGCAAGAAAAAACATAAGAGTGAGGGAACATACTTGGACAGAGATAGATCATTAACATAGTGCCAGCCATAATCAAAACCAACCATGCCACTGTGTCGTCTCCGCATTTGGGTGCGAAGCTATGTAAAAAAGCGTGGAAATTGCTGCTTTTTGTCCAAGTTCAGTCGTTCCGAGTATTCGGTTGGCAGTCATGGGGCTTCTGTACGTTGCCCTCGACCTGTATCGACCGCCCTCGTGCTCGTTAAACAACTTAATTATCTCCTTCGCCATGCATATCTCAGCATCCGTCTTGCATATACTCAAACAGTAAACTCGTCTAATTCCCCCCATCAAGATGTCGAAACGCAGTAGTACCCTCGATAACAATAGCTTTGCAACCAGTGGTAGACTACTACCGACAATCAACACCTCTCCAAGTCCTAGATAATAAATGTTATACCATACCAAATATTAGGATGTCTAGAAAGAATTGAAATGACTTTAAAAGCAGTTATACTGTTCATTCAAAGGTCCGTCAGACCAAAGTCAAATTAGAAATAACTAGATAGCATTCAACACCTGTGGAAGTCGAACAAGAGTTGTATTGCGAGACTATTCACGGGAGTGGTTGAAATGTGCCTAGAAACTCGAGGTTAGCCAATTTTGCTCTCCTATAGATACTCCCGATGCTGTATTTACCTTCACTAAATACTATTACCCTTTCATAGCCCTGCTTAACCAAGTAACTGTTTTTTGCAAAGTGGAAAGAATAAGTATTATTAAGCGATTGGTTCATCGTATTAAATATCTCATTTTAAATATGAGAGCAATAGGCAAATAGTTTACAAGACTTTAGCTAGATTGTTATGTCTAATTATAAATCTATTATCCATTTCTAGACTATATTAACTAAGATGTGGTTTCATAGCGGGTGGCTTGTTGTAGAAGTCAGCCTCATGCCTCACTTTTGGACGGCTGTTGACTCCGCTACCTCCTATTTAGAGATTTTCGTCAGTTTGTGATCATAATGAATTCACACTAACTGTAACATACCTTGTCCTCTATGTGCTCTTCTCCTTTGACCTGTTCCTGGGTGTTGACTCTGCTAAGTTTCATCTCAGCGGCACCAAGCGGGCCAACACAAACGTATTGGCGGAACTTGCGAGCAGGGATCTTGGCCTCGAACTGAAAAGAGACAAAAAGTTAGCAACATGATCCTATATTTTAATTTCACTGAGAGAAGGATACGGAGTTTGTAACTCACCATCTCATCGACCTCCTCCAAAGTTCTGCCCTTGACCTCGGGTAAGAAGAAGAAGACCCAGACGGCGGTAACGATGGAAGCGGGAAACCAAATGTAGCCGTATCGTGGGCCCCAGTTCAAAGCGGATGGATTGATGAAGTAAGGGGCAGTGAACTGGGTGAGCCATGCCATAAAGAAACCAACTGCGGCTGAGATGCCGAAAGTGAAACTACGTAGGCGCTGGGATGGCATCTCTCCACCAGTAAGCCAGGCATAGGGCGCAACCATTCCCTGTCAGAGTGTCAGTAATTAAATCTTCACCCCTACTACTTCTTCATGGAAAGACTCACGTTGTAGCTCATCATGTATAGACAAGAAAGGGCGACAAGCACCTTTCCGGTAACTTTGGTGCCAGGATTCTTATCATAGGTGATGGCGATGATCAATTGGAGGATACCACACAATGTAAGACCAGACATGAGCATGACACGACGGCGACCGTAACGGACGACAACGAGAGAGTTCATGACAAGAGCGAGCAAGCCGATGGTGCTGAGGACACAGCTCATTGCGAATGGGTCAGCAACCTTGGCCATGCCGAAAAAGTATGCCTTGTATGCTACGCAATAGTTAGTTAACTCGACTCGACCTCGTTGCTCAGTTGCTCAAAGCAAGGCTTCAGGAAACTCACCGATGATGAACATGGAACCCGTGGCCGCCTGAGAGGTTACGCCACAAACTGCAATAATAGTCCTTCGTCGATCGATTGGGTTCCGGAAAACATCGAGGAAACCGACACTGCTGGCGAGTTCCTGCTCCTTAAGAATAGCGGCACAGATGACTGAAGCCTCATCTTCAACATCGGCGCCGTCAGGTCTCAACCGCGCGAGCGACTTAACACCCTCCTCGCGGCGCCCCTTCAAGAGGAGCCAACGTGGAGATTCAGGGATGAAAAACAACCCAACTGTGATGATGGAGGGAACAATGTAAATTATGCCTAGAGGGATGAGGTAGGCGGATTTTCCGGGCCTCTTGGAAGTCGCCCAGTCCACGATTGTACCAATAAGGGTTCCCTTGAAGTTGTCAGGACAAATAGAAATATGGTCATATCAGATCAGACTTACGAAGGAGGTACCAAACTGGAATGTCGTAAGGAAAAGGCCACGGTACTTAGCCGGGCTACTCTCTTGGATGTACAGCTGGGCGAAGGTCATGAAGCCGCCATTTGCCAACCCATTGATGAACCGTCCAGCATACAAAGCTTCGATGCTCTCCGTGGTCATCATAATAATGTTAGATACAGCGCAGAGCAAGCAAGAGAGCCATATGCAATGCTTCCGACCAAGCTTAATGGCTAGGAATCCAGCGCCGCCGGAGCTGATAAAGGCACCGAGAGTCATGAGGGACGAAATAAGTTGCTGTCTCTCGGTGGTGAGATTCCAGCCCAGTGGGGTGTTGGGGGCCCTGAAGCCAAAGATCTGCCACAAAGTTACAAAGCGGCTTTAGGGCCGGGGGTCATGATAAAACCAACCTCCAGAAAGCCCTGCATGGCCTGCAAACCGCCGATGAGTCCAAAATCGACTCCATATTGGAACGAGGAGAGGGTGACGACGGCACACGCGACGAATACTCGCCAGTTGGCGCGAATGGTTTCTTGATCAGCAACAGCCATGTTTGCCAGGTGTTGGGGATGATGTTTCCAAGTAGATGGGTGGTCGCCCTTGTTTGCAGCATGGGTAAAGGACCTTGGGCTGTCAGTTATATATACGAATCTCGAATCTTGGCCAAATGTGATGTAGGATCGGCAGATCCGGGTGCAATACCTAGACATTTACCGAAGTATTAAGCCAAGCTTCACCCCCTCCACCTGTCTCCCTCTTTGCCCTTAGTGCATAAACGGCAGAGAGATCGAGGAGTTGTCCCAGCAGCCTGGACACCGCGGCGAACCAGCCTGAACGCGGCTTGAGAGCCCCTAAAGTTCTAAACTCCGTCCATTGCAGATGGCAACGACATAGCATGCATTAGTCGCCCTAGCCCTTCGTTTCATGCGGTTGGCGGTGGGGACGCTTGGAGACTATTCAATACCAGCTGGACGCGTTGTGCCAACCAGAGGCCTTGCCACTCCCCGTCTCGACCTGTCCTGTCTAGTTGATCAAAGTCTGGGGAGGAAGCTTAGCGGCTGTCGTGGGGCCAAAGCCATGGCATTAAGCCGCTATGTCGCTCTGAGTCTCTGGGGAAGACAATTCATGTGGGGTGTTTTGCGGGGACCCCACTAAAAACAAAACCTCCATCGCTATCGTCAGGAGGCATCGTGGTTTTCGTGAAATGCGAAATCAATACCGGCCCTCGGCTCGTACCTAGTGAGGGCTGAAGCATCCCCTTGTGATGCGTTTTCGTACTCAGCTAAAAGTGCCGGCCTGCCTCGTGGTCAATCGAATTGAGGCGATTCGCATCTAGATCGATGCATGCGTGTCCCTATCTCTGCTGGCGCACTGTGTTCGGTGTCCTCAAGGTCAAGGACCTCGCCGGATGGCTGACCGCTACGCTCGGTTTAAAGCTATTGAATGTTGCTTGCGCTGTTGCTGAATGTCTAATTTATACCCAGACTACTTCCTCGTACTATTCATCATGTCCAACTCCTCAAGAGTCCGAATAGTTACATTTGGTTCGACCAAAGCGTCTCGTGCCTGGCTCAGTTATTCAAGCGCCGCAATCCTTCCACAGTGAACTAATGCATATAATCCGGATGCATCCCGTTGAGAAGTCAAGATAAGGTTTGGAGGCTCTGGTTAAACTAAGTCCATGGCCATCTAGAATCGCTCCTTGTTGCGTTGTGGCTGCTCTGATATCGAGTATTTCCGCGGAGGAGAGTTGGGGAACGAGATCTGCGCTTCTTGTCCCTAGGCGAAATGGCAAGAGTTTGAGGGAATTGCTGGAGTGCCAGGCAACTTCCTTGGAGCCGGGGGAGATATAAATGCGAGGCAGTAACATAACCCGACCTACCAGCAAGTCGGATTGACTAGAGTTTTTGGCCCAGCATAGAATATGATGTTTTTGTCATGCGGCGCGTACGCGTCGTGTGTAGTGTTTGTCGACACCGCATAGCTCTCTTTCCTACTCCTGATTCTAGCTTCTTAGTAAACTGTACCTAGGTACCTGTGGGCTGCTTCGCAACTCGATCACTTTGATATAGCAATTAAATACCCAAGAAGTATTGAGAAGCGGGAGCTCATTTTAGGCTCGGTCGAGTACATGATGCCCAGGACATTCAAGTTGCTAAACCCCCGGGTAGCTCCCCCGGCAAGTTGGTAAAGAAGGATAAACTCCGCCGCCAGGTGATACTACGCTGTCAGTCTGGATGCCTTGGCTTGCATATGCTTCCCGCTGGATTCAGTATCTGAAGTCTAATTTTAGGACTGTCAAGTGGGATCGACAATATCTAAGAAATAGCTGTTCTCGTACCTAGGTAAAGCTGAGACTTTGAGGGGGTCTGGTTATCCTAATGCCCTGGTTTGATTGACCACGTCAGGATCAACAAATAGACCGTAGTACTTTGAAGTATTTAATCCGCGCCCGCTCTACTCCCACTTAAGAGATGGTGAGTTTATTTGTAGCGGCAAAACATGGGAAATGGGAACTTGCAGGGGCGGTTTCGACACAACCACGATAAATAGGATTTATTGTTCTATTTTACTCATGATTTGCACATTTGCACATTTGCACTATGCTCCGAGCAAAATCTCACGAGCTAGAATTTGCGTGGCTCTGGCACCAATTGACCCAGTCCGAGAAAATAACAGCCTGCATCTTGACCTGTCCATCAACCCACGCAATCTGGGAATCCCTATAAACCGTCGCGACTTTCTTCAAAGTCCCCTTATCAGCCTTATACAAGCTGCTTGAAATCAGCAAGCTCGCCGTGCTTGCAGCTCGGGCAAACATATGTGAAGGATCCTTGGATGCTTCAGAATGGATAGCCTTTATCAGCTTGAGTTGTGCTGAAGGGTCAACATCCCCCGCCACCTCCAGTTTCTTGGCAGCCCTGGCATATGCGAGGATGATATTGTATGCTTTTTCGCAGAGTTGTTTTGTCTTGGTCGTACGCATAAGCTGCAATAAAGGTAACAGAAGTCCGAAGGCCAAAGGGTTATCAGCTTGCTTCTTGACATATATCTCCAGGAGGTCCAGAACGCGACTTTTGAAGTTGACGATAGTCTCCTTAGCATCTTTCTGCTCTTGTTTCTTGCTGGGCTCTTTCTTGCGCAGGGAGAAGATCTCAACGAGCTTTGCGTCAAGCGCCATCATTTCTGAATCTGTCATGTCGGCATCACTCTCGGATTCTGTTTCAGCGCCTTTGTCTTGATCTAGGCGGTGTGTCCCAAGCGCGCTCGCAAGAGCTTCTTCGAGTTTCTGGGCTTCTTCATCATTTTCGTCACCTACCATTTCGTTTTCATCGTTTTCCGCATCATCCTCAGACTCGTCATCATCGTCCTCCAGATGGCCGTTCAGTTGGATATCTTCCCCATTCATATCAACAACCTCTACATCTGAATCAAGCTCATCTTCATCGTCTTCGGCAAGCTCTTGGCCTTCTTCTGGCTCCTTGTCGAACAATTCTTGCTGCCCCTTCAAATTCTCACCTGACTCCAATACATCGGTCATCATCTGCAAGCCTTCTGCAGTCATATCTGTCATAAATGCACTGAAGACATGTTGGGCCACTTTTCGTAAGAGTGCGGATGGCTTCGAAATGAACGAGAGCAAAAGCTCTACCAAAACTTCAGAAGCATTCACATCAGAATCATCGTGACTTTTGTGTCGAATAAGTTTGTCGTAGCATAGCTTCAACTCGTCAAGGATAGAAATAGCCTCGGGCTCCCCGTCATAGAGTTGGAAGATGACCAGGGAGTACAACAAAGCTAGTGCCTGTAGCGGTGCCTTCTGCTGGTCACCAGCCTTGCGGACTTTCTTCATGAGCTTTTCCATTGTAGATAGCGCATTGTCTTTCGCTTCCACAATTTCTGCATCCATGGGAACCGCATCTGGTTTTATGCTTCGAGCAAGGTCGCAGGAAAAGGAAAATGCCTTCAGATCAGACAACAAATGCGCAAACATGGACAGCAGGCGGTTCCGGAAAAGTGCGCGAGTCTTTCTGGATACCGGAGGGTCGAATTTGGCATCCTCACAGTAAGCCACATTAGCTACAGTTGGGAATGCGATCTCGCCGATCCAGCTGATATTATTTGAGTCATCCTGAACATTAACTCGGCGGACAAGATTCAGGATATAATCTCCAAGCAACTGGCGACGCAGTTCTGCCTCCTTCGCAGCATCAGTCCTAATAATCGTTAGTTGACAGGTCCAGGTTTACGATTTAAGAGCGTGACATACCCTTCGACCGATAGAGTAGGTGTTATGAGAATCTCGATGGCGGACTTTATGTTCTCATTATCCACAATACTCAATAGTTTATCAATAGTCTTGGTCTTTGTAACCTTGTCAAAGTTATAATTACCGTTCCCGCCTATCAGTCGTGGAAGTATGGTGATCACGATCTGCGGATCCGCCTCTGCCGCTTGAATCATGACTTTCAAAGATTTGTCTGCTGCTCGATTCAAGAAGCGGTCTTTTTCTTGCACATGGTTGATGAGGCACCGAACGAGGTTGTGGCTAAATACAACAGGTAATAGATTGCCGTATAATGCAGGGTCCTGGAACATCTTCTGGAAGAGCAGAAATCCCCAATATTTGCGCTCCCGAGACGCAGTTGAAGAGAATAAATTTTCTATAGATTATTAGCGTTGGAGGCTTCGATTCTAATTCGAGGACTTACCATCAACTGCTACTTTCCAGAAATTCTCGAAACTATGTAAGTTGTCACTCTCTGTATCTTTTGAATCCTGGGCATACTGGGCAAGCACAATATTCCAAACGAAGTGTAATTGGGCATTCCAATTACCAGTTTGTTTGATTTGGGTAGTTTTGTCCTCGGTAGAGTTGCTTGAAGAACTTTCCTTTAACGCCTTTGCCAGGGTTTTCAAATGCTGAAGAGGATTGCCGCTCCGTCCCCAAGGCTTTGAAGGAAATTTCATGGCGGGGAAGCGATTGCGTGCGGTAAGCCAGATGCCAACGCCCTCAGGCGAACTAGCCAGACCAGCGTTCAACAACCTCTCCAATGTGTGTTCCGCCTGGATTTGGGTCATCTGTGCGACGGCTTCGACAACCACCCAACCACATTCTTCCCTGATCCACGGTTTCTTCTCGGAAAGCTCAATTAGCTTGTCCAGTATAGGGTCCCATCGTCCTTCAACCAAAAACAGCACCTTCGATCTCACGAAGCTTTGTAGCCCAAAGAGCAAGCCGAGGGAGTGATCCTTCTCTTCCTGTCCACTCAGGTCTCCCTCTGGCTTAGTTTTGGCAACAAGAAAGCCAAGCACCGTATCAAAGTTCAAGTTGGCATATTTTTCGGACAGGGGCGACTGCGCACTGAATAATTGCTCCAATATCTCAGTCAAGACGACACTGAACCCTAGCCTCGCGCCTTTCCTGCCACTTGCAAGACCCCGGAACAGTCTTCTCTCAAGATGTCTTTGTAAGGTTGATTCTTCCACCCCATCTCCACCCAGAATACCAGATACAATTGCGTTCGCTGCCGCCAATCGTTCCGAGCCATCTTCACTGGTGAGACTATTGTAGAGCTCAACTTCTCTCTTCAGCTCGGGTCCTCTCGGGTTATCGACGAAGGGGGATATTTCGATAGCTGTTGGCAAAGTTGGTGCAGCAACGCTTGCGGATTTTTTGTCGATTTGCGGTCGTTTGGCAGCCGGTGCTGTTGCGACTGCATCTTGATCCTTCCGCTTGCGTTTGGTGCCCATATTGGAGGAGATGTTGAGTTCGTATTTGTTTTTGGTGCGCCACTGCAGAATCAAATTGGGATGTATCGCGAACTTTTTGCACACAAGTTTCGATTCTGCCCCCACTGACCGCCGACGCAGCCCACCAAATCAGTGCTAGGTCAGCGTCCTAGTCTATCGAGTGACATCACGTGTATCGCGGACCCCTTTACGCAGCTCCTCGTTCGTTCGACCTAACCCTCACAACTTCCTCTTCTATCTATTTAAACATCAACCACCTGGCCTTCTCATCTAGTGCATATACCGCCGGATCCGGGACGCCCTCCTTTCTACACTTTACTAACACTCTCGCCTTTGACAATATCTGATGTTTAGTGAGCCGGCGTTCTCAACAAGCAACAGAGCTTCCTTCGCACTTTTGCCAGTTAAAATAGAAGGCATGTCGAGTCCTGGGTAGCGATTTGGCAAACGGTGGAAGATAGACCAGAGATCAGTCATAAGGTGACTGGGTGGACCGCGTTTATGTATCGCACATCGTGTCAATAGGGTCTATGGAGCTGCCTCAAGGGTGGTGATAAGAGAGGACGAACAAAGCAGAAGCTACCTCGTGCTTAGGTAACATCCGGGCTCAAGTTACATATTTCATTGTTTGGTTCACTTGACTTTCAGCATTATCGGCTTATCATGCTACTTACTACTTGCGTTTAGATAGCCAGCTGCATGCGGCTACTTGCGCTTACGACGACATATAAGTGTATAGAGTAGGAGGCTTTCTATTTTGTATAATTATAAGAACCGCGCCGTACAGTCTTACGTTCAGCGGTCATTTTATACGCTAGCAGGGAGTACTAAGTAGTGTTCCGTGTACGTAAAAGGAGTATTGCTGCTGGCATCTCCAAGGATTGGTACGAGCTGCGGGATACTATTCGAGCAGAGTCAAAGGTATTGGCGCCTGCTACGAGGTACGTACTACTTTAATCCTAACCCATTTACTCTACCAAATGACTGCTCCGTACTGTACTTCATAGCCATATATATATATATATATATATATTGCATGTCTGTGCTGTATGCAAAAGTGTATAGCACTGAACATTTTCTGTTTCCCCATCTTGTCGCAATTAGCACAAACAACTCGATCAAGCCCATAACCGTCAAGATGGCCTACAGACTTCTTGTCCTGGCGCCCCTCCTTGCAACACTTGTTGCGTCCGTCTCCGAAGTGGTTCCTGGTCCAGGACTTCCAACTCTTGCCGAGTTGGGAGTGACGTCTCCGGATCTATACAACGAGATTCCAGCGGCCCGTAAGTAAATTACACGGCATCTTAGCCTAGATCCGTTCAAGAAACTCACGAACTATAGTTTCAAGTCACAGCAAGAGGGAAGATAAGCACGACGGTGCAATATGCACCAGCTTTGGCGGCACGGGCTATACACCCGTTGAACATGTTATCGCTTGCTTTAACTACCTAGTCAAGATTGGCAACAGGAAGTGTTCGACGGCTCCCCATACTGTCTGTACTATTGAAGAGACTGTAATTAAGGCGAACGCGTACGGGTCACCGGCGTCTCCTGACTACATTGATTGGTATATCTTGTGTCACATCTTTCTACTCAGATCTCCTCTAGCTAACTTTATATATAGCTGGGATGTTGCACTCGGTGTGCAGAAAGTTTTTACTGAGTGTAACATTGATGGAAAAGTTTCAGGGCAATATTTTCTACCCAATGTAGCCAATGCAGTTAAGGGTGTATTTTACGAGGTTGAGGTTTTAAGTATACATACGGGTATCGTAATTGTCGGGGAACCCGAACTAGACATAAAGCCCAAGCCTACAAGCAAAATAGGCGCAATAAATTCCAAACTAGGGCCTTGCCCTCCAAGCAACCCCTTTAGTATATATATATATATAATAATTAACTTCGTTATGCCCTTCTCGTCCTTCAGAGCTGTCACTCCATTACACCTAATTTGCGCAACCTCAACTGCCTGCAAAAATACGCTCTGCTAAATCACTGTCTTATTCTCATCATCTTTGTGCAATGCACTGTAATAGATGTAGTTCTCAGCTGAAAGCATTCGTACGCGAACCACGTTTTTGAGTCTCACTAAAACCTATTCTCTTGTTCAACTACTAATATTAACAACACTATGACGTCCATTAGGCTCGATTAACCTTCATATCGCTCGATCGAAGGAGTTAGCTCTGTATAAGAGAGCTAGGTGATTGGGAATGCATAGAAGGGGACGCTTAAATATAGCGAAACTAACTATCTAATATACGGTCGAAATGAACGGGAAAAATTCTGATAGAGAATTACTACCATGATTTAGTAGTGTTGAGGTAGTGGAGTGTTAGGGGTTAAGTGCTAATTGCTGATCCGATGTGAGATGCTGAAAACTTACTATATGACTCAATTATACTTCTAGCTATTGATTTCTCATATAAATTTGTATAAAAATGCGGTTTACAGAGACGTCGCAACCAATTCACAGGCAAAGTTTTCATCCCTTTTCATTATTTTCACTCATTTGGGTCATATGCCCGGGACAAGTCCATTGGTTGTATAATATTGGTGGGTCGCTGGGGTTAATGAGAGCGGATTGAAGTGATATTTATCATCTCATAGGCACGTAGCAGTCGTCACATAGTAGGGGGTGAGTCATTCTGTCTGCCTAAATATATTGCAGCTCGTTGGTCGAGTGAAAATCAATACTATATATTACTGTACTGTACTAGTAGCAGTATATAGCGGAACTAGAATAATCAATCAATTTTGACTACTCGGCTTAGCTTATCTTGCGTTATATTCTAAAGACAGCGATAACTCATATCATAGCTACTATGTCTGGAAAAAGCTGCAGCAGAAGTAAAGTTTAATTGTCTAAAACTCTTTCGCTATCTACTTGCCTATGTGGGAGGTGTGCGATAGCCAATGAGGGAGGATCTATTGCATTATTGCAGGATGATGTAGCTACAGAAAAGTGGCCAAAAGTGATTACTATCGTTAGCTATCCTCGAGAAGAACTTGTAAGCTACGATAATGTCACGGATAACTTGCAAAAGTTCTCTGACTAATCCGAGCGAATAGAGTAGTCGTTCAGCTAGTGCAGTTACTAAGCAAGTGTATATTCAATTGCTATATATAGATATAAGATATACCTTGCCCACGTACTTCTAGTCTAGGATTCGTAGTAACTATTTCGTTACGAAGTTACTCAAGAAATTAAAATAAAGCGCTTTATTTATATACTTTTACTATTTCTTCTGTAGAGAATATGATCTAGAGCGTTTGAGATTATGAAATTCTTCTAATAACTTATCTGTAGACGTGTCAGATTCGTATAATCGTAAGTTAGTATCGAGATTTAAGATAGTTTGTTAGTTATTGGCAGTTGTTTCGTTGACTGACTTTTCGCTTGTAAAACTTAGTTTTAAGTTATTCTCCAATAATAATACAACTGCTGTACGCTGTACTACGTTATTGTAGGCTTACTTGATCGCGTTGTCTCTTTGTCGTCTACTTAATCATTGTTATTCTAGTATATAACAGCTCCATTTCGAAAAGTATCAGTATTACTAGTTAAACTCTACGTTTTGATTTGCGTTATAATATATCTAAGCTATATTTTAAACGTCGATATTAGTATTAGATAACTTATATATATCTTAAGCTAGCTACTATAATATACTGATATAATAGTATAAGTTTTGTTGTTGTATTGCTATTTTATCTGTTTATACGACTATAAGCTATAAATTGCTCGCGCGCCTAAAGTACTGTGGTGGGGTGGAACCGCAGTATGTCAGGTGTACAATAGTCGCTATTCGGAGTATAATTTTTGCGGGCCGGGCACTTGAAGTGCGCTGCGCCAGGCGCTTGTAGTATAGCATGCTTCTTCACTCATACATACTTTTACTACCTGAGGCGACGCGCTTGATTATTACCGTACATTTAAACTGTACATTCCACTCCTTTACAGCATTATAATATTTATAAAGTAAAATAAATATTAAATATAATATCGACTTTAATTATAATAATTTTAAAGTAATACTAAAGCTTAAGCTCTTATAATTAGATTAATTGTTTTAATCTATATTTTAAGTTACTTTTACTTTGATTATTACTTACTTATAGTTACTACTTTAGCTTATTTGTCGGCTTATAATCTTAACCATAATCTACAGTACAGACTATAAACTATAACTAACCGTAACATTAATATTAAAAGCACTAATACTTTCTACAACACTGGTCCGATACTAGTTTACACCCCTTCTATCCCTCTCTTCTACATCAAATATCCATGACCGTCTCTCACCAGCCCACCGCTTTGCAATTGCCATAAAAATTATCTGTGCCATCGTCACGAACACCCGCGATGAGGAAACTCGAGAATTGGTGCATTACTACAGAGATCAGCCTTGAAATTTACATATCTATGACAGGGAGATGCGGAACCGCCAAGATAGGTCTAGCGAATATTGCCACACCGGCACACGCTGGACCCCTTACTGAATCACAACTCAACATCAATGTTGGTCCGCCCACTGTTGAATAAGGGACAGTGGTAAATTCCATTTGATATTTATTTTTATAAATATCATATAGACGAGGCTTTACTATGTAGATAGTATTTATGCTAATCTGATCCCACTATAACTCGAAATCACTTGACAATATAAAATGAGTGTAGATTGGCTGGCTCTCTGCAGGTATAAAAAGGATTAACTACAAGTAATGAAAGTTTTAGAGTTCTAAGTACGAGTAATCCAAGCGCTCACAATTTTGATAATCCGAATGCTTAAACTTCCCTCAAATCCATGATCACATACGTGACAAAATGCTGCTTCCAACCCTTTTCAAAACGCCCCTAGAAAACAACAATTCGCAAACTGGCGAGAGAACCTAGAAAGTAATAGGAAGTTCCACGATGCCAACGTCCATGTTGGGTGGGGAGTATTTAACCTCTTCAAGAGGAATTGCGATCTTCAAGTTTGGCAATGTCTTGAAAATAGTTTCTGCAACTTGGTTAGCTTACTAGAACTGATTATTAATATTTTGATAAAACGTACGGAAGACAATTTCTAACTCAGCACGTGCGAGCCATTCAGCAACACACTGATGAGCGCCATATCCGTATCCCAGAGCCTGCTCAGATCCACGCTTGCGGTGAATGTTGAAGGTATCTGGGTCTGGGAAGACATCCTCGTCTCGGTTTCCGGATTGAGTGGCGGCGATAATGCCTTCGCCAGCCTTGATGGTCTTCCCTCCGAGGGTGATATCAACCTTGGTAACACGTCGGGTGGCCATGGCTGAGGCTGTGTGGTACCGGCAAAGCTCTTCGACAAATGCTGGGACCAAGGAAGGATCGGCCTTGACTTCTTTGAGCTGGGCAGGATTTTGGAAAAGTGTCACAATTCCCTGGAGATTGGTCAGAAGAAATTCCAGATTTACTTTTTTCGATAGTTGCGACTTACGAGATTGATCATGTTGACCATCGTGGCGTTTCCTGCTACCAACATCAAGAATGCGATTTGGACCGCATCGGCCTTTTGGATATGGCCAGGCTTGAGCTATAAAACCAGTCAATTACGGAATTCTTTCTTCGATATTCAGGACACTGAAATAGGCACATACCTGCTCCACGACAAGTTTGCTGATCAAGTCATCCTTCGGCGCAACGAGTCTCTTCTCAACTAGGTCGCCGATATATGAAAGGAGTTCTCTGGTATGAAATCAGTATTTGGGGGGAAAAGGCGAGGGAAAGAGTGAGAACTAACGAGTTGGAATTTGATGCCTGGGTAGCTGTGGCGCTTCCATTGCTTCTGATGGCTGCATGCTGGGTAAGGTAGGCAAGGTCTTCGAAGGGAACTCCAAGAATGCCATAAATGGTCTGCCACAAGGGAATCCGTGCGTCAGCGTCTGCATTTTTTAGTAATGATATGAGAAACACTCACGTATGAAGCAACGGGAAGAGCAAACTTCTCGACAATATCAACTGGCTTTTGGCCACCTTCCTTAATCATATCAGCGAGAAGGGAGTCGACCGTTTTCTGAATGCTTGGGCGCAGTTTATTAATCTGGTCTTTGGTGAAAAGAGGTTCAACCATGCTCCTGGATAGGTTCACGTCAGCTGGCGCCTTCAATTGAAAATGAGTTAACTCTCATACCTCTGTTGCATGTGCTCAGGGGGGTCCATGTCCACGAAAGTTGGCTTATTCTTTGCAGCCTCCTTTCCACCGGCATTGAGCTCAGGGAAGCCAGGTCTCTGTCTCTGTTTAGATAGGCGTTCATCGGTCAAGACGCTGCATATGTCTTTATGCTTCACAACCAACCAAGGATGGCTCCCATCCCAGAGCTCAACCTTGGAGACAGGGTCGTTGGCGCGGAGATAAGCATACTCGGAGGGAGGCTCGGCGCCAGCAGGGCGAGAGAAGGGGAATTTTGGAGGGGCTTGAGATAACTGTTTAGTTTTGCCAATTGACACATGAATAAACAAAACTTACAAGTGGTCGAAGCCATTGTTCTAAGCGAGAACTTTGAGATATTGGTACACGAGAATTTTGAGGGCTGGAAAGCTCTTGGGCGTAAAAGTATGGCAGACATGATGAGTGTGGAGTAGAATGAAAGTCTAAGGGTAGTAGTATATATACAAACGCACTTTATATGCTATAAGAGAGAAGTGATGTGGATGAGAGCCGAGACCAGAACTGCATGTCCTGGCGGAGTACAGGCCATATTTATGAACATACGAGTTGGCCAGGATGCGGCAAGGAAAGTCTGGAGTGCGTGAAGTGTGGCCAGGCTAGGCCATCCAAGATTAATTTTAATCTCGCCTGTAACATTCCATATTCTAGTAGGTATCCCCGCGGGAGTCGACATGAAGTCGTATGTACCGGTACGGAGATACAAGGTAGAGGATCTCCATATGACGGTTTGCAGCTCAGGGTACGAAGTACCCGGGTACCTGGCACAGAAAACCCTGGACTGTACTTGGTACTTTCGCAGGCGAACATAGGGGGCGACTGGTCTCACAGCGAGTTACAGCCCGTTACAGCCTATTACGAACCTCCAATTTGTTTTACCACGTGCCTTGATGGAAGTCCCAGGCAAAGTCGCAGGTCCATGTCCGAAAAGACCCGCTCTTCTTCACGCACCTCCGCGGTGGTGCTGTGCAGTTGTTGGGGAACTTGGGGCATCTCCAGCTTTGCCACCGTGGATGAAACCGACTGTTGCCGACATCAGGCGATGTGGTGGAATTTTGGGGATATTGAGGTCCCTGCTGATATTGATATCAGGGCCGGAGACTCTGAGCGCCCGGTACGGCAACAATTGCGCAAGGCTGCACCATGAGGTAGCTGCTACGCTAATAACCCTGCAGTTGAAAAAAAAAACATATCGAAAAGTCGTCAAGTGCCGGAGGAAGGAAAAAAGAAAGAGTTGGTGCCGCGGAGATGTACTCATGTACAAACCCATTAGTACTAAGCACCGATGATTCCGGGTGACAAATCAGACGCTTGTTGGCCGCCCTGGAGTCGTGCATCGCGAATTTGTGGCCTGACTTCAACGGCGGGTTGCCTGTATAGGTTATAAATAGGCACGAACGGCATGAAATGACTCAAAGCTTCTTGTTTATCCCCATCTCCTGTCTAAATTCTCACGCAAAAGATCGCCTTCTTTTGCCATCACAAGAGGGAAAAAGGAAGAAAAGAAACCGAGCCGCTATGAGACGATTCGTTCAATCGCCGCGCTTGATCCAGACAAGGTTCCTTCGGGGTGCAGCGGCGCGGAGAGCTCATACCCAGACCTACGATCACGGGCAGACCTGTTCGTCTCTGACTTTGGGGTTTTGTGAGACATTATGTTTCGAATAGAGCTAACCTGTCGATGCTGTTGCCAGCTACCAACACCAACACCGACACCAAGATTTACGACGCCGACGGCAAAATCTTGCTGGAACGCTCCACCGAGGAGGTCCGGAGTTGGAAGGAGGATCGTGCTACAAAGAGCGAAGCTAATGTATGACTTCAATGTTAAAGCCATCTCTTCCAGAGTTCTTTTTCATATATTTAGCATCATCATTATCTACATTGACTTATATATCTCCCTTTCCCACCATCTTTCCGATACAGAGAAACATATTATTTTTAATTTGTTTTGCAGAAATTAAACTCACAAATTTATGATATAGATCAAAGCCGATCGAGGGGAGATCCACCATAGTAGCATGGCGAGCATGACGGAGATGGAGCGACGTGGGGGGAAGGCCTTGCCAAAAGATCGTGGCAGTACGAATAAATCTCAATCCACCAATTAGCTGTTAATAACTTAATCCTTGCGTCGAATATAATGTCACTGAAGCGGTTGCTTTTAATTTACAATCTTGCTTTACCACGTTGCGCTGTAGCTTCCTCCCTGGCCTGGCTTCACGATGCGTTTGCTCCGACCCTGCTGACGACACACTGAGAGCCTAATTGCCCAATGGAAGCCTACATAATATTGGGGGGGGTCAGCAGTGCTCCATATTTCGTGTTACTCGGAGTCTCCTCCGTAGTATCGTATCCTGGGGTTCCTGGGACATTCGCTCCGACCAGCTGTGGAGCAATAATAATGTGGCATGTCAACGACGTCAATGAGTATCGTTGATCTCCTGGTTCATTGCGGGGTTGAAAGATACAAAGTGCTGCCCTGTATTGACACATATTCTAACCAATGTGATCTACTCCGTACAGATAGACTGATCAATGGGCTGATCAGTGGATACTACCCCGCCAAAGGCTACGAGTACGTACGGTACAATTGCCAAGTACCTACAATACGAAGTAAACGGTACAGCAGTTGTCCGCCCTCAGCCCGTAACCGCCAGACTCAAAATCGGAGGTCTGATCCTACGTACAGTTATGACGAAGGGGACCCAGCCAATTAATTATTTGCGGGATACCTCGTGCAAATCCTCACTACGGTCAATGATATACAGTACCCAGGTAGGTAGGTACTTTATCCGATAGGTTAGCAATCCCTGTAATAAACCCACTGATCACCAGGGGACACATACCCGTACTTGAGTCGAGTGAATATATTTTTGACTCTCATGTACATATACTTGGTTATATTCAGGACTCCCCCGAAATATGGGGGTTGAAGGTCCTCCTGCCTGCTGTTTACGGTTGGACAAGTTGCTGAGCATCAGTTTACCACCTCCCATTTTTCTTCCACGTGTTTTATCTTAGTGGTATGAATTGCGTTTCATTGATGGCGTCGCTTGCGGGAATGGCGTACACGGCAGCGGAATGCTGGAAGTTGGATCAACACTTCCCGGGCAGGGGTGAGCGGAAGAGCCAATGCTGGCGCAGTTGAGGGATGCCGTGCAACTAGTTGGACATGGTCTAGATCGTCGAACCGGTATGCAAGTGCCGGCTGCTCTATCAGAACCTATCTGCATGCCGAGTTGATATACGAAGTACATGGCGGCGCAGCCAGTAATCAAGATGGGTATGCCGGTGACGTATCGAATCCTGTATTTATACCCGTATGTACATGTACATATACATTCGTACAAGTACTTAATTCCTCCTCACCGAAGCTTGGCGTAGCGAGCGGGGTTATGTTTGACATCAACGTTTGCATATTGTAGGACCGATGTTTGAACTTTTATTCTAGACCCATAGCTGTGTTAAATGTCGTGCATGAGGTCCATGTAGTGTAACCGTTGAGTTGAGTTCGTCGATATGTTTTGTCGGTATGTACCGCTGTTACAAACCCCGAGCAAACCCCGAAACCCCTATTCTCACGACCTGGATCGCTTGCTCAATCATCGGGGATATACGGAGTAGTATAAACAATAGTAATTGTGTGACACACTCGAAAAATAGTATGTACAGCTTCCTACCAACCGTTGTCCTGCGAGATGGGCAGGCCCCTGAGCGTATGCATGACATTTTGCTCGAGGCAATTTGGTCTATAGGTTGTATCTCCGGTTGCAATCTGGCATGTTGGGCATCATTGCGAAACTTCACTACCAGTCTAGTGAATCGCCTCGACAGGAGGGAATGTTTTACAGCTGCCGGTGCCTTGGCTAATGACGTGGTCCTAACCCGGGAGAGAATAGAGAGGCGTTTGTGAAACATCACTGTAGCGGGAGAAGGCATGGAGCTACCGGCATCGCCAACTTGTGGCTTGCTCATTAAATGATGATCTCCAATCATTGTTAGGGGGCGCTACAGTACCTGTAGGGCTGGGGCAAACTTTGCAGCTTGCCTCGACGCCCAAGTTATATGGTGGTAAGGAGTCTGACCAGTCAATTATTCCAATCCCACAAAGCGGATGTTGCGGATTGTAGCGTGATGTTTTGGGTAGCGGCAATGAAGCCATATTCATTATTCTTCAACACGTCAGCAGATCTGGAAATAGTGTGTTAGTTCTGGTAAACTGTACGTCACACCACAACTTACCATCGGGGTAATTGCTTGAATGCTGCCTTTTGTCTGCTCGCTCTATATCCCTATTTCTTACATTAGCATCGAGCCAATAGTGTGCTACATTTCCAAAGCGCTACCAAAAGACTCGGATGGTGCTAAAATTACCACTATTGGAGGGTTTGTTAGACTATGAGATACTGAGGGAAGTAAAATAAATCGTGAGGTTGTGTTAGGAACAGAGAGATTGAAGTGCCCTCGGGTCGGAAGAAATATATAGTTACACTCGATAATGGATGCATGTCGGCCCTCGGGTCTATGTCACAGGTCTCGAGGCAGAGGCTGGGAAGAGAAATAGCAATCTATAGACCATAGATGAATGCAAAATTTTGAAGCTCTAAGTCAATGATATTCACCGAAGTTCTCAACGATAAATGTTTCGGTCCAGAAGATCTGTATTTCAACAAATTCAGATAAATTGGATAGAATTAAACCCTGCAAGATCGAAATGAGTGTTGATAGCTACGAACAGCGGCTCTTCAACAGCTTCTCATGAAGTACTAGTTGAGTAGGGACCTAGAGACCCCTACCTAGTATTCGTTCTGTCGCTTCCTCTCGGCGAAAATCTCCAATGCCTCCTCAGCGGCTTTGACACCCGATAGCGCCCTATGTAGAAATTAATACGGACATTACCAATCAGGGAACTAAATTACTTACATAGCGCCAAAGGTAGGGCCCATACGATTTGCGCCATCCACCTCACTCAACTCCATCCCTCCAACGATCAGTCCCGGCACTATCTCTCTGGTACGCTTGACGATAGCGTCTTCAGCTGTGTTCATGTCAAGACCACGCATGCCTCCAAGCTTGTCAAGCTGTTGCATGGAGACGAGCCGCTTAACGCTAAAGGCGCCGAAGGGGCCATCATGTCCTGTGGTTGAGATGACAACCGGGGCATTGATGGTGTTTGGGTCCATGCAAGATTGGTCGTCATGGTGCATGGTTACCAGAGTCCAGTTTGTGACAACGCCCGCAATGCGGAGGGTGCCATCGGGGGAGGTGCGGGTGATGAGGTCTTCGACTGCCGTGGCATTGAAGAGCTTGATGTTGGGGAAAGAAAGCACTTTTGAGAGGAGGGTGGAAGTGAAGAGCGCCTGGATAAAAGTTCCAGAGGTTAGTATGTTCTATACAACTCTTAATTTAGGGAAGGGCGTTTTACTGCATGCTTCACCACAACGAAATCACCCTCATCTTCAAATGCAACACCAAGGTCGGTCAAGAAAGCGTCAGCCGGTTTGCGCATCACCATCGCACTGAAAAGCTGGCCTCCAAGCCACGCTCCACCGCCCGGGGAGACGGATGCCTCAATGATGGCGATCTTGAGATCTGGGCGAGCCTTGCCAAGCATATACGCAGCACTAAGCCCACAGGATCCAGCACCAACAATCACAATGTCGGACTCGGCATATGTGTCGAGATCCTGGAAGTATCTGCGGGTCATTGCACGGGAGACTTGGGACTCGCGGATAGGGGCGAATTTGAAGCCTTCCTCCCATTTGTAGGCCAGCTCGTCAAGCGTCTTGGACTTGTTGACATTGATTGTGACTGGCTTGACATCAAAGCCGGCCTTCAACTGGGCGGCATTGGTAGGGGAGCTGGGCTCGCCAAACGTGGCTGCTGGGGGAGACATTTTGATTGTTGTTTGGGATCAAAGATCGAATGATCCTAGGGTGGGTTAGTGGTGCTAATGGATGGGGGAAGGGAAGGCATGGATCCTTAACGCAGGCATTATCCTGATCAAGTTCGACCGTATAATCTCAGAACGAACCCAGCCTATGCCTTCAGGCTACTCATCTCATCTGTAAAGATGGTGGATGAGAAGCTGTGAAGACGCTGAGAACGAACACCGGTGCATGCAAGATGGGTGACCATCGATAAAATACCTTGACCCCTTAAGGATAATTCCATTGTTTGGACATCATGGCTCCCAGGATAGTGTGGAACTGGGCGAGCTGTACTTGCTGCTGTGTTCTACAGTTTATGACATAGTCAGTATAGTCACACTAGAGAGAAGGTTTGACAAACGGTGATTTTTGAAGGGAGCTTTGGAAATGCCAGACTAATTCCGAGTTGATGAAACAAAATTCAGATGGGGTGCCCTCAAACTCGTAGGGGATTTGGAGATTTATAGGTATATTCCCAAGGCTTTTCAAAGTGGGGTAGCTGTTTGGTACTCCCCACTAAGAGAATAGCTCGATGCAGGAAACCATGTACAGATAGATATGTCCATCTTCAAATGAAATATGATTGGGTATATCGAGCAGAACATGACGATAAAGTCCTGCAGTGCAATTGTCCAATGCAGTACATAGCTGTGTCGTCACACAGGTGGAAGGGTGGACCATGGCTGAGATCAATTAATTGGCTCGTGAGAGTGCCATGTCGGGATCAACGGGAAACGTTTATTACTTTGTTGAATTTAGCCGGCCTAGACACTTGACTCGCCGCCTTCCCGGGCTTAGTACCGTCTCAACTACCTACCTAGGTTGGTATTCGACGTAACCTGCAGGTATTGGACAAGAAGAAGAATGGTAGGCAGGAGTACATTGCTGAGGTTCCAACTCATCGACCAAATTGCATCACCGAAATGGCGGACGGCTTATATTTTCGAGGCTGGGCTCAAAGCATCATTGTCTTGTTTGCGGTCAAGACGGATACAATATCCGATATGGCGTTAGTTAGGAACAATCCCACAATACACTGGAACTACTTTGTCATGCCGTGTGTAGGCGCCCCAAGACTAGGCAGTGCTCATATGACCGGTCATCCGAGCTCCGATGACCACACGTGACTCTACATAGAACATTTATAAAACGTTTTTCAAATGCTTACCAA